GTGTGTCAGCTGCAGAAGCTTAGAAAATACAAAATTGTGTAACAGCTTGAAGAACTGAAAGAAGTCTTTACTGGAAGGAAGTTGTGGTACTGAGCTCTTCAGCCTATGTCATCTGCATTTTGTCTCTGTGAAGCCTGTTAAACTAGATCCAAAGACAACATTATACTAGCAATTGCAGGAGTGTAGACACAATTAGATTCTACATTTATAATTTTGCCTATTTTGAAACAAAATGGCTTCCCTCAGTTTATGTTTTTGATTAAAAGTGTCATCAGATCCTTTATAAAAAAGTAGACATCAAAGATGTTTCAGATGGAAGTATAAGTAAATATGAATTTAGCACCTAAAAAAAGCAGTTCTTACTTTCATAGAAACAAAGGGCTTGCATGATGCCTTTCATTGTTTACATGAGTGAATAGAATCTGTTGAAATTGCATTTCAGATACCCATAGCCACAGCTAATTTCCACGCATATTGTTTTTTATTACATGCTTAGAACTGGAGTAGGCTTTTGAGCATGTATTTCATAATATTTACCTGTATATGCCTTTAAGAAGTATCTTAAGCCCTTCCCAGTAATTGAATAGCAAATCTTGTGCTGTTCCTTATTGTATTGATGATTAAGATAAATCACCTATGTTATGTTTAGGGAAAATTCAGAGGTTGGGACTTGGGGCTTGTCGGCTCAATAGTTACACTCGGTACAAAACTCCGTATTAAAGCTGGGGCTACACCGCCATCTTCTGGTAAACGCAGGAATGGCCTCGGAGGTTGACAGTTCATAGGGGAAGGAGTATTTGTACTGTTCTGTGTCAGATTTGTTCTTACAGTGGGCCATGAAAAAGGAACACGTGAAATCTATAAAAAACTCGAGAATACTTGTGTGCTAGGCTCAAGTATGCAGCGACATATGAATTCTGAAAATGTTTGTTTATGGTGGTGGTCTCAAAAATCCATTTGAATGTAAAAGGCACACAGTTACGAGATTTGACATGTAAATGTATAAAAACAGTTATTCATCAGTTTACTTAGGGATTTATTAGATGATTTGTCTGTGTGTGTTTTATGAAAAAGAAATAGGATGAGTGCAGGGACTTGGGTGCTCTTAATGCACCTGAGACAAAAGCAGATGTTCTGCCTACCATCTGGCTGCTTTCATGTATTCATCAGCTGAGCTAAAAATCATGTATATATCAGCACCAAGTTTAATGTGAAACACACTCAGGACAGATGGCATTAAGTGGTTTCATGTACCCTTGTGTACTGGCTAGTCACATTCCTGGAAAAACGACTTATCCTTTCCCCAGGCATCACAGTAAGGAAACCGTACAAAAGTCATCATATGCATAAAATTGTGCTTGTGTTTATGAAACGGTGCTTTTTTTCCACAGAGATTTGATGCCATAGATGGTTTAAATGCTTCATAACTGTAATAAAAGCAATTAAGTTATTTTGTTCTCTACATTTAGCACTGGTAGTTTTCAAACTGTGTGATACTGAGAGAAAAAAAGAACACAATGGAAAACAGAGATAAAGAGCAAAAATACTGGTTTGGATATTGTTATTTTACAGCTATACGTATAGAAGGCAGTTACACATGCACTGTAAGAGCAGGTTGCTGTGGTAGCTGAGTAGCAGTAAATGGAAAGTGTTTGTTCTAGTAGCTTCCAGAGTTGTGGTGGATATTTAACAAATCGAAGAACATGTGTGATCCTTCCTAGAGCATTCAGCCATGGAAAACAGAATGAGAAAAGAACAGAAGAGGATTTGCCAGCTCCAGAGCACACAGGCTGTAAGGGCCCAGCACGGTTTTTACAAAGAGGAGGAGAACAGGATGAAGCTGGAAGGGGGATTAAGAGTAGTGAAGGTAGAGGATGTTTGGTTGTTTTTTGTTTTCTTTTGTTTGGTTTTTTTTTAAGGTAGAAAGAGAATCTAGAGGCTTTCAGATTAGGTCTTACTTGTGAGTTAGCAACTTGATGGGTAGATTTTATTCATCTAGTGATCAAAAAGGAAATGGACTGTGGACGAGCATGTATTTGACTAGAGCAGGCTGATGAAGCATGAGCTAAGTGTGTTACCTCCTGGAACTGAATGTCCTTGGAGCAACCAGCAAGACAGAAGATCTTGGCAATGCCATTTTGGGTGGATAGAGGAAAATGAGCCTGGTATTCACAGTGGATTGTCTACTCCCTTTGAGACCTCAAGCGAACTTTTCTGGTAATGGACTAGGAAGCTGTTGCAATATGTATCATGTCTACTTACCCCAAAACCTGTCTTAATTTATGATATTCTTGTATTATCTGTAGAGAAATAATACTTAACAGCCCTGCTCTATGCAGCGTCAGTGCAGTGTCCTCAGGAGATGCTGCCAATATACCTGAACAAAAGACTTATCACTCAGTAGTTGGTGAGTGTCTTTTAGGTTTTTTGATTTTTATGTCATAAAACTACTTTTAAATGCCAGCCTACTGCTTTCCTTAGTCATTCTGCCAATTGCAAGTAATTATGCAAGAAGTAACATGTATGTATGGTAGTAAAGTAACTGAAGACGTAGATTCAGGTATGACATTTTAAATGGTAATTCTGCTGGTGTAGGAAGAAATGCTGCTGGTATTGAAAAGACTAAGTGTCAACACATTAAAAGAAAAAAACAATACCCCACAGAATTAAGCAAGGAAAACATTCAGAACAAAATAGGTTTCTGTGAATTTTCTTCTTAGGATAAGAACATTTCAGAATAGAAGAGTGGGATGCAAGGTTTTTTCAAGTCTACTTGATATAAAAATGCTTTATTGACTCATGTGAGTAGGTTGTCATCAAAGCTGTATCCGTGCTTCAGAAAAGGATGGGTGACAATCACAGAGTAAGAAAGCAAGAATCTGTTCCCAGTGTAGACTGTTAGAGGTGGCAGAATTTTCATGGAATTTCAGCTGTTCAGTCAGTAAAAGTATTGCAGCACAGCTCTGGAAAGCAGGGATACTAGTTGTGGGAACCTGCTGGAATCTTATGAGTCCCTTCGTTAGCAAAGATCCAGTTAAGTAAATGATTTTTCATTTCAAGCAGAAGATTTTGTAAAAGGAATAGTGTAATAGTGTTTAAATTATCTTAGCCACAGGAAAATATCTGGATGTGCTGGATTGCTGCTTGGAAAGACATTAGACCTTATACTAGGACCCCTTTTCTAAGCTGATGCTGAAAATGACCTTGCAATATTTGTAAAAATAACTTGTTAGGTTTTTTATAGGCACTTAAACTTCCAGGGTACTGTTGTTGTGTATTAGATCATAAATTCCTGGTAGTTTGCCTGCAAATCAGTGCTATTTTCTGACTATTTCTCCATCCTTTTAAGCAGGTATACTAATTATTTCTACTTTTATAGTCCTGCTGAGCTCATTTATTCCATCAGTTGGAGTATTATAAGTGATAACATGCATATTCCTTTTGATGTTGATTAATAGCAGATCTGCTACTGGATTCTTATATTAAACATTGCAGTGCCAGACAACCTGTGCTCTGAATAATTCATGAAGAATAAGAAAAGGATTAGAGGCAGGCCACACAGATATGTATTTCCATGTGAGTTTAGTTAGAACTTAAAGCAGGGAATGTACACTTCAGAGTCTCCCTGAGCATTGATTCATTTTTATTCTTTATTCTCATTTCATCTTCTGTTGCTTTTTCTCTGAACTCCTTTCAGTCTACCTTGATTGCAAGGACCCCTCAAGGGTGAATGTAGGGTTTCAGGAACGTTTTGCCAGTTGCTTTACAGCTAATTCTTCACCATACTTGGTCAACTTGTATTTTATGAAGTGCAGTTACTGCATGGGAAATAAGAAGACATAAATTGTTCTGACTAAAGAGGGAGACATAATTCATTCTGTATATAGCATCTCCAAACTGAGTAAACCTTGAGCATTTTGACATTTCAAAAGATGATGAGACAGTAATATAAATAAGACAACAATGTGAAGTTTAATAATTGATTTAATAAAACCCACAATAAAGCAACACTTTTGTAATATAATTAAACACGTAGTAAATTATTAAAAAACTCCAAATACAATACATGTCTACTGTACTTCAACTTCTAAGTACATCAACTGTAAACCCCAATTTAATTAAAACCTATTTATTAGTATGTGCAAAATACCTGTTGTTTGTCTGTGGTATTTTTTTTCCAGTAAGTTTGTAAGGATGGGATGCACATTCTTCATGAACTGTGATATGGCTTAATTAATGATTGTGTTTGTACTGAAGCATTAACTTCCCAAGTACAGTGCTACTTGGCCTCTGAGCTGCATGTGCTCCCATGCTGTACTCAAACGTTCCCATTTCTTGCCAGAACAGATACCAACATAATCCAGTGTTACATGCACTTTGTCCAAATTAATACTGTGCTGTCAGTTTTTTATACTGTGCTGTCAGTTGTCACCAATGAAAGGTCATCATGTGACCCCTACCTCGCATAAGGAGAGACAAGAAGCCAAGACTGTGACCCCAAACTGCAGGTATAGATCAGCCCAACGAGTATGTGAAACCCTAGCAAGTTTCAGAACAGACAATAGCTTAAGTATTCACAGTTGAATGTCACAATATCCATTACTGGGCAAAAATCTTCCTTTCTGATCCACACAGAGAACTATTTTGATGTCAGTGGAAGTTCTGCATAAAGACCAAAGTACAGAATAAGTAAAAAATCTCTGAGCCAAGTTCCTCCCATCTTCTGAACTTTGCAGGTCGTACTCTTGTTGCCCTTAGCATCTTCAGCATAAATGATTCAGAAGCAGGCGCACATCTGCGTTTTAAGGTGTACAATAACGTGGTGTCAGGTTTGGTTATCCGGTGTACATTCGGATTACAGGGTTTCCACGGCAAGGTGGAGAAATTCAGTTTTGTGGATTTTGAGGTGTCTGGATGAATAGTCTTCAAATTGCCTCATCTTTCTGTAAATAAGAAAAGGCCTTTCTACCTCTGTTGGGTGTTACGATATTTTTGTCCAACAACACCATTACATTACTGAACTTGCTTGGATTTTGCTTTATGAATAAAGCCAGGTAGTGGGGACTGTTATTGCAGTGGCATTCTTATCAGGATACTGCCATAGTGTGATCAAAGCAAAGCTGAAAAGGTCAGAGATAGCTGTGACTGAGGGAATAGTACATACCTAAAACTTTCTCTCCCGCTTTCCTGTTTAGATGTTAGATCCTGTTTTGCATGTCTGTTGGTTGTGTTTGAGAGTATCTCCATGTCAAGCATAGTTTCTGTCATTTGACTTTTCTTTCAAAAGAATCTTGGAAAAATAATCAATTACAGGACATTTATTAATTATAATAGAAGGCATGCTAATCAACTGGCCTTTTAATGTCAATCAAATGTTGGTTTAGACATTCAAGATCGTTAACAACAAACTCATCTTACAAGTCAAAACTTTTTAAATAAATAACCTGTTTCTAATGTATAAACCCTATTCTAAAATACATTAAAGATAACTGATCACTTAAAACACTTTGGGTCCAGTGCTGGGTCTCTAGTTAAATACCAGAAGTCTGGGCAAGGATCTTTCTGTCTGGATCTCTGAATGCCCAGATTAAAGCTAACTTTCTGGTCTGGGTACAGTAAATGCTGTATTTTTCAGTGTCTCCAGAGAGAGAGTTTCCAAAACAATTCAACTAGCACTGTATGCATTATAGTCTTAAGATACTTTATGAAAATTACTATTGCAAAAATACTGTATAATGATTTCAGGGATCATGACATATTATGACATTCTGGCATGATCAGCATTAGAGACTTGAACTGAAACACTGAATAGTTGATGCTCCATTTGGAGTGCAGGTACTTTGTGGTACATAGTTATTCAAGGACAATATGGGACTGTAATTTGTGAGGTATCTGCAGAGCCATGTTGCAGTTTGTAAACAATCTGAAAACAGCTTTGTCTCCAAATCATCATAACTTGAATAAACCAGTACAAGGGAGAGAGTGAGATACATGTTCTGTAGGGCAACCACTGCACTTTTTGCAGCACCAGTTCTCCCTGCTGCATGTTACATGGTATAAATCCACATATTAATGGTTTCTGTTTGATCATTTTCATTTTGCATTTATTGCTCTCAGTCTTTGACTACAAGATAAAGAATAAGGCAGCAGTTCCCAAAACATAGAAATCAGGCACTGGAATTCTGACAACTTGCGCAGGTTTTGCTCATTTCCTGTTTGTAACTCTGAAGCTGCACAGAGCACTTGTACATTCCGAATGTGTTCAGCAGCAGTTGTCGAGCCTTGGACTGAACTTCCTCCCATTTAGATGAACTACCAGGAACTGGAAAATCAAGACAATAATTAATAGAATTCCCTCCTCAAGAAACCTGGACAACCCAGTGTTACCAACTAGAATGTCTTCTCATTCACTTATCCATACTGTTCTGTGGTCATTATGTGCTTTCTATTTATTATTTGACATTTAGGTCTACATCCTCTAACTAGAATCACATCTTGATAAAACTGTGTTAGGTACCACCCCCCGCAAAAAAAAAAAAAAAAAAAAAAAGAGCTTTCTTACTAAGAATTAATATTCATGATAGTTAGGTGTCTAAATCAGCACGTTTTGGCAGAACATATTTATTTTTCCTGTCAGATTGTTCTATATTAGAGCTTCACCCTGTCTTTCCCTGGACAAGTAAGGGAATTTCTGAAGAGAAATTTTACATGTACACACATACACCCAGGAATCTTTATTGAATATTTCAGTATGAATGTATTTCTTTGCACAGTTTTCATTTACACTGACTTTCTGGGCAAGTGGGTTTTATAACTTACTGTACAAACCCACAGGTAGCAAACATCCCCCCCGCAATGATATTTCCTGGTTCAACTTAAATAAAAATTGGAAGAGAAAGTGTCAGATTTTTTGGTTTGGGTTTTTTTTTTTTCCTACACTTACATTTCACTTAGAATCATTGTGTTCGGAATTATGCTACACAGCAGCTTACCTAGTTGCAAGTGGACTATGGCAGTTGTTTTTCCTGCAGTAAGAGACCAAACATTTAAGTCTTCTATAGAATAAACATCTTCAATTTTCATCAAATCTTCCTTAATGCGATCCACATTTAAATGCCTTGGAACCCCTATGATACCAAACATAAGACAGAATTAATTCAGACTCTCAGTGGCCTTTAAAATGTCATGACAGATCTCAAAAGAGTTCATAAATTGTGATCAGTAACTTCCAGGTTCTCAATAGAGAAGAATATGCAAATTGGCATATAAAGTCAAATATGGATACAGAAATTGTACATTAACTACAGTGTTTTCTTCAACATAATTTGTCCTGTGCAGAATCTCTAGCAATAGCCAGCATTAGATCCTTTGGTGCAATGTAGACGTTACTGCAGCTTCTAACCCCTCGTAACTGGTTAGACCAGACTCTCAGCTCAGAATCTAAAAAACCAACATGCTAGGTAACCCCCATTTTCAAGAAGGGGAAAATGGATGACCCAGGGAATTACAGAGCAGTCAGTCTCGCCTCTGTGCCTGGCAAAATCTTGGAGGAGATTCTCCTGGAAGGCATGCTAAGGCACATGAAAAACAACAAGGTGCTTGGTGACAGCCAGCACGGCTTCACTAAGGGGAAATCCTGCCTGACCAATTTGGTGGCCTTCTATGATGGGGCTACAGAACTGATGGACAGGGGTAGAGCAGTTGATGTCATCTACCTGGACTTGTGTAAAGTGTTCGACACTGTCCCACACGACATCCTTGTCTCTAAATTGGAGAGACATCAATTTGATGGATGGACCACTCGGTGGATAAAGAACTGGCTGGATGGCCGCACACAAAGAGTTGTGGTCAATGGCTCAATGTCCGGCTGGAGACCAGTAACGAGTGGTGTCCCACAGGGATCGGTGTTGGGACCGGTCTTGTTCAACATCTTCGTTGCTGATGGACAGTGGGATTGAGTGCGCCCTCAGCAAGTTTGCCGATGACACCAAGCTGTGCGGTTCGGTTGATACCCTGGAGGGAAGGAATACCATCCAGAGGGACCTCGACACGCTTGTGAGGTGGGCTGATGCCAACCTCATGAAGTTTAACCATGCCAAGTGCAAGGTCCTACACCTGGGTCGGAGCAATCCCAGGCACAGGTACAGGTTGGGCAGAGAAGAGATTCAGAGCAGCCCTGAGGAGAAGGACTCAGGGGTGTTGGTGGATGAGAAAATGAACATGAGCCGGCTTCAGTGTGCGCTTGCAGCCCAGAAAGCCAACCATATCCTGGGCTGCATCAAAAGGAGCGTGACCAGCAGGTCAAAGGAGGTGATCCTGCCCCTCTACTCTGCTCTTGTGAGACCTCACCTGGAGTATTGTGTGCAGTTCTGGTGTCCTCAACATAAAAAGGACATGGAACTCTTGGAACAAGTCCAGAGAAGGGCCACGAGGATGATCAGGGGACTGGAGCACCTCCCGTATGAAGACAGGCTGAGAAAGCTGGGGCTGTTCAGCTTGGAGAAGAGAAGGCTGCGTGGAAACCTCATAGCAGCCTTCCAGTATCTGAAGGGGGCCTATAGGGATGCTGGGGATGGACTCTTTGTTAGGGACTGTAGTGACAGGAAAAGGGGTAATGGGTTAAAACTTAAACAGGGGAAGTTTAGGTTGGATATAAGGAAGAAGTTCTTTACTGTAAGGGTGGTGAGGCACTGGAATGGGTTGCTGTCGTGGTTTAAACCCAGTCAGGCAACTTGTTCACTCACTCCCAGTGAGTGGTGCCGGGCTGACAACAGTCGAGGCCCCCCCCCCACCGGGGCTCTCCCCTTCCCCGCTCCCGGAGGAACGGGGAGGAGGATCGAAAGGGTGCAACTCTTACGGGTTGAGACAAGAACAGTCCAGCAACCAATGTACAACACAAATCACCACTGCTACTACCAACTACAACAGTGATAAGGGAAAATAACAAGGGAAGAGAATATGATACCACCAGCCAAGAAACGAGTCCCACCTGGAAGCCCATGTCCTTCTGGGTAACTCTGAACCCAGGACAGTTGCCCAGGGAAGTTGTGAATGCTCCATCCCTGGCGGTGTTCAAGGCCAGGCTGGACAGAGCCTTGGGTGGCATGGTTTAGTGGGAGGTGTCCCTGCCCATGGCAGGGGGGTTGGAACTAGATAATCTTAAGGTCCTTTCCAACCCTAATTATTCTATGATTCTAGGTAGGCCCTGTGTCCTGAAACTTCTCTCTTCAGGTACCTGGTATTTTCAAATGCTCATAGCAATCCATCTGCAGCGGTTAAACGTATGACTTTCATCTTATAGATGACTTTCATCTTATAGTGCACCAATGACTGCACTGACCAAGACGTTCTAGATGTAGTACTTTCAGCACCTCTATAGTTTCCCTACTCCACCCTTTAGCTGTACAAAGAGCAGAATCAAAAATTTAAATGATCAACACACTTCAAAAACTAGTACAAAAGTACTGAATAAACTCTGTTTCCAAACAGTTTTGTTTTTATCATAGCTTTTTACTGCTCATCTTTCAGTTTTATGAGTTTGATTATATATGCCATAAGGTGTTCAGCCACTTGCTTCTCTATTTTCTTCAGAATTTCTGAAGTGACTCCTCTCTGAACTTGTTATTTCACTGTCTTTTAAATCATGTTAGTTCCAGTACCATCTCTTTTGAAACTTCAGCACCTTCAGACTTCCATGCTACCTTTAAATATCTTTTAAAAGCTAGAATCTCGTTGCTCTTATTAGATAATCATTTAAGTTTTTAATTCAGCATCTTAATATAGTGATGAAACTTAAGTTAAAACTAATACTGAATTCTGATACAAGTGCAAGGACCTTGATGTTGTAGTAGTAGTTTCCAATATAAATGCAAGTTCATTCTCTGGAGATCATGGATCTGAGTTGGAAAAATTCCCTAGCACACATACAGCCCACCTACCATCACTTTTAATAACATCTTTAATTTGAAGATTTTATAACAACTGGGATACCTATGCAAATAGCTACAACTCAAAATATCTGGAATGCACCATTATTTTGTCCTGTCTGTTTTCTTCAGCTAAATCTTAGCTGCTGCCTTGCAGCTGACTGAGGTTTCTTAAGCAAATGTCACCACTTTTGCCTTCTCAGTGAAATTCCATTTTGTTAGATTGTTATGTTGGGGTTGGGTTTTTTTTTCCTTCTAAATGACAGCAAAAGCACTTGACGTTGAAGATTTTGAGGTTCCTGGTTAAGCCTAACATAATAAACGTAAAGTCAATAATAGCTCACATGAGACAGCTAGGAAGGTGCAACTGAAACTGAGGATTTTTATCCCACCCCTAACACCTTCACTTTCTTAAGGTAAAAGTACTGTATCAAGCAGTAGTAGTTGGCATGTTAGCTGTGATAATGCAAATAATGCTGGCATCTTGCCTTCTAAGGCGCCACATGAGGTAACATGCTTTAGTTTGTGTTCAGCTTTTCTTTCCTTTTTTCCTTATTCCTATTTACACCGCTCTTTTACATGTAGCTTCACCTATGGTTAACAGTAGAAGCATGCAAGTAATACAACAGTACCTGTGAAAAGGGGAAGACAAGAGAGACATGAACAACCTGTCCAGCCATTCGTCTTATTCTTGCTTTCCCCTTTTACACACTTTCATATTCACTTTAACTTTACAAGTGATTAAAGGGCAAGTGTAGAAGTGAGACAGGGCAAATGTTCACTTAGTTAGCTGACAGCACTCAGACACACCAGAAAGTTCCATACATTTCACTTCACCATCTCCAAATGGTGAAGACCTATGACTTGTGTGATTCTGACAGAGGTCAAAGGCACCTTAAGACTTCTGTGATTTAAATGAGCCATCAAGAACCAACAGACTAAAGAAGCAAGAGGATAAACAGGTTTCCAGACTCAATCCATGTTGCTAGAGATGGTAATTATGATGTCAAAAAAAGTGCCAGTGCTCACTGGTATTTGACATGTAAAGTACTGCAGACTGTGCACAGATCTTACCTTCCAGAATAATAACTCCTGTGTCACACAGAATTCGAACTGTTGTCAAAACCACCAGTATGGAGAATACATATGTACATATAGGATCAGCAATCTTGTATTCTGGCTGCAAGGGAAGTTCCAAAGTGTTAAAGCATGTATGAAAATAAGCTCACTTACTTAAAAAGCATGACTCAGAAAATAGTTACTTCTAGCTCCAACTTTCATGAATTTTTTTTTTTTGTTTGAAGAGTTACAAAATACATAATACAGTCATTTTGTATGAATGTATGAAGCTTAAAACAGAATATCACAATATATTTGTTTAATAACTTATAAAACCAAGTCCTTTTTTAATCACCAAAATTGAAATTAAACCAATTCCTCCTGCCTCAAAGGCTGGCCATTCCTTACCTTAAAGCGTATGATGTATGCAGCCACGAGCACACCAATACTTTGTACCAGGTCCCCAAGGGCATGTACAAACGCTGCTCTGACGGCAAGGCTGCTGTGCCCGTGGCTGCTGCTATGGGCTGTGTTAGGAGAGTTCGACTGAGGTACATGAGAGTGAGGGTGGGAATGGGAGTGGGAGTGGGAGTGAAGGTGGCCAGACTGATTCAGCAAAAAACCCATTCTGAAAGGGAAAGAAGAAAAACAGGCTTTAGGGTTGGTTTTTTTTTTCCCTTTTAAACTAAAGAATTGAAAAAATAATACTTAGTATCATTTCTTGTCTTATGAAGATGTCCAGCAAAATTACATTCCAGGAGAAAGATACAGGCCATGAATGAATTAGCAGCTTATTCAGAAATACATTTATGAGTGTTAATGAAAAGAAAGGGAGATCTTACATTAAGTTAACTGCAACACCGACGGCTGCTGTAATCAGCATGATATCACCATTTATTTCATAGTCCATATGGATAGTTCTTTGAACAGCTTCATACAAGAGGAATGCCATAAGGATATAGACCAGCAGTACACTAATGATGGCAGACAATACTTCTGCAAACAGAAAGGAAACAACATTACAAAAGTGAGTCTAACCTTCTTGACATACCTTTACATACACATTATCTAGTGCAGATTTCAGCTATGAAGGACTGCTTAATGTGTTTCTGTATAGCTGTAATATGTGGTTTTAACATTATCTTACATTTACCAAATACTCATATTTTACAAGAGTGTTATGACCAAGATTTTGACGTAGGAATTATATCCAATCAGCAGGGATTTGCAAAAGGGCACATATACCTAAGTAAAGAGAAAATTAGGGAAAAAACCTCCTATTCTTTCATTGTCCTGCGCCTTCCGCTGCCGTTTACATCTGTGGGAAGTGGTTACAGTTCTCCACAAGGCTCCTGCTGTTCTGATGGGAGGTGAATAGGCCTGAATATTTTATGGGTCAGGACCTTAGTGCTGTCTGCCTCACTACCTGAGTCACGGAAGTGGGCTGCTAAGAGTGTACATAAACCTGAGGACAATGAGTTCACACTACAGTTTTAAGGTCCTACCATACAGAATATAGATATTTCCAAATGGGTCACTAGATTCCTTTTAATATTGAACATACTTTTAACTTCTAGCTTCATATTCTGAAAATGATTGCCCTATTGTAGCTGAAACTTAAAAGAGAAACAGACAAATAAAAAAGGCAAAATGCCTGACAGAGAAAACATTGGCCCAGTTAAGACTCTTGGTTATAAGCAAGTTAATATAGGATTTTACAAAAAAAACGGGAAAACCTTAATGCCAGCTCCACTGTATTGCATGTGAATTCATAGGCATGTCTGAGTAATGTGTAATCATTATGCATAGCGCTCATTACTGTCATTTGCCAGATGGATCACCAGGATCTCAGCTTTCCTGTGTGAATTCAAAGATCAGAGTTGGAATTAATTTACTTGGAATTTTAATAGTTGTTCTTCCCCCTTGTTCACACAAGTTGCCCTGATTTATTCTCCAGTAAGGGCAAAATTCTACTTGTGGCTTTACCACAGTTCTGAGAATACTGATCTGTGAAGTTCCTCACTTCTGCCTCTGCTTTTGATCCGTCAGTGTGTAGTACAACTTTGGTTACTGCTGAAGGTGTCATTTGTAACACAGAACTGCCTTAACTGTATTTATTGAATATTACAGTAAAAAACATGCTGCTATATAAGCATTTTAATATCGCCCAAATCACTTGATCCACATATGGAATTTTTAACATTGTTATGGGAGAAGAAACTCTCACCCACACGTTCAGCTGTTCAGCAGTGTGTCAGTGCCTGGACCAGTACCAGCATTACCAGGCAGTAACAAGGCTCTGGATGGCAACTGTCACAATCTCAAGATGATTTCAGAGCAACATGAAAATCCTGGAAATATCTGTGCAAGTGGCAGTGTTCTGTACAAAGCAGGCAGATTATTCAGGGCAACAGCCTGAAGAAACCTCAGTACATTCCTTAACAGGTTTTCCAGAATGCTTTTAAAAAAAATTGTGAAGCACATTAGCATTTACCAGAAAAATTACACGTTGTGGTTTTACAATTGAAAACCATGTTTTCTGAAATGGAAACCAGTGTTTCCCTTGCAGTTTCTTTCACAGGCCCACTGTAATGTCAGCATTGTAGATTTGTGCAGACATCTTTCACTTCTTCTGAAATTAACTGTATACTGTCTCAGTGGACTGACTGATTCTGTCATTACTAACATTGTGTTTGCAGCAATGGAAAAATGCCAGGTCCATATCTATGCTTAAATCTGCTCAGTGCCTCACTGAGAAGGACGTATCTCCACTTTGTGGTGAAACAGAACTATTTGGGCTTTGAGAATATAATCCTTTTTAGACATGACTGCAATTTCCATTATTTTGTCTTCACTTTTCTAACCCATTTCTGAATCTGTCAGCTTCCTTTTCACCACTGAAAATGGAATAAAACTGAAGATGGAGTATACATATTATGTACTCAAGGAGAATTCAAATAAATGAGAACTAGTGTGAATTCCCATCTGGAATTTGATGAGACACCTTAATATGCCTGTTGTCTTTACAATGCAATGTTTATGGGAACAAGTTCAAAAATTCATCGTTCTGCAAACAAAAGTCATAATGAGCACCAGAAACATTGCTCATTAGTATGTTTTCATGCTTACTGTATGTATGGATTATCTTAAAAATGAATGCACAGCAGGTCAGCAATGACAGAGTTCTTACACACATTCCTATCTTCAAACAAATGTGCCATATTTTCATTGTGACAGATGCTCGATCTCTACCCTTTTTTTAACATTCTGTCATGTTTTAACATCTTTCATGAAATCCAAGCTATTGTTGAGCCTGTATTATTTGTTGACAAGCTTCTTGCATATAGAGTATTTGGAAAGATCTGTTACAGCTTTCTTCCATTGCCAGCATTTGCTGATGTGTGAAACTGCGCCCTCAGGCCATGGCATTCAGACTCCATGCCTGAAATGAGGCAAATTGATTTCACAGATGTGACTGCAAAAAGAAACCTGTGTATAGTAATTTTGAACCATCTCATTATTCTGTACTTGCAGAACCTAGGTCAAGGTTTGGGGGTCTCTTGCAGGGCCTTTATTCACTTCCTCTTCCTTACTGCAGACATAGAAACTCCTCTCCCCACTTGCAGACTCCTTCACAGAGGGCTGCACTGTTACTATTTACACAGAATGGCTGAGGTAGAAGGGAACCCCTGGAAACTCTACAGTCCTGCTCAAAGCAGGGTCAGCTGCAGCAGGTTGCTCAGGGTTGTGTTCAGTTGGGTTTTGAGTATTTCCAACTGTGGAGACTCAACAACCTGTTCTAGTGTTTGACCACCTCCTGGCACTGGGCAGCAGAAAAAGGGGAGTAACTGCTGCAGAACTGAGAAGCTGCTCCCTTGGATGATGGGATGTTGGGCAATACAGACTAATTCTATGGGCCACATATGGCCCATGGGCCACACTGGGTTAGTCTGGCCAGGATTCCTCTTGGCATGGAGCGGGGAGAAGGAAAAAAAAAACCAAAAGGTGAGGTGGCAGGAATCCTCACGAATTTTTGTTTGCCAAGTGCAGTGGAGCCCTCAAACTGTTTTAAAACTCAGTGAAAATTTACAGAACTGAGTAAAATTTTAATGGTTAAGTAAGTTTATTTTTCTGAAGATTAACTCCTGTTTTTAAGCTAGGCCATGGCATGTTCAATGTATGTACTATTTGGCTTTAGAGAAGTCACAAAGATATATAAACTACTCATGATCTCTAAACAGGGTTAAAGTATGCATGAATGCTAGCAAACATCATTCTGAAGAGTATGAACAACTGCCAGGGGGTACGTTCAAGGTCAGGTTTCAGTGTTAAGGCATCTCCTGTCGCAAAATTAAAACTTAGTGACAGAAAAGGTTGCAATGGGAAATGCCAGCAGTGTTAATGCTTTCTTGCTAAAGCCCCAAAGATCTTTGCTAGTGTATAGAGTTATGCATTCATGCACTAGTGACTAACTGATGACAAATGACTAGGAGCGATGGAGTTGTTGAATTCTGCTGCTGTTCTAGCAGCCAAAATATGAATTGCAAATGATGACTGCACAAGACTTTGAAATTCCTTGAAAAATATCCTGTAGAATGTATAGAGCAGGGGTAGCAAAGTGTGACACTAGAAATTATCTATTTTACGAAAAATAAAGCTTTGAAGCTTTTGGTTAAATGTCTGCAAGACCTGCACCTGTATATTATGAACTATTAATATCCAGTTAGCAGCCACATGAAAGCACCCTTTATCATCATTACATTTCCAAATGCTAAGTAATGAATCCTGAAAATACCTTTCCAAGGTTTAGGACATAATTCTGTTTATACTTCTTTGTTTACACACCTAAAAGGGGCAGAGGTTAAGTAACTTATTGTATTGCAAACCATGGGACATCTTGATCTCTTCTTTGTGTGGTTTGGAGAGTGCAAGAGGAATACTGATTTATGTGGCTTCTGGCAGAGCAGAGCCCTCTAATAATATGCTCCACATAACTTTTTAGTTCTGGATTAAGATGTCATTTTTCATATTGAATAGGACCTTCTTCCAGTGTCATAATTCTACTGAAGAATGGGAGTTCATAAATCCTGGGCACTGGCAATTATCTGTTGTGAACAACAAATGACATGTACAGCTCCTAAACCAACAAGCTCCCCGGCGTGTCCCACAAGCAGCAACAGTGGTACACCAGTGAGTGACCAAAGAATGTGTCCTCTTGCTCAACAGCTTCAATTCCTGAGCACAAAGATGCACATAATGCAACAGCCCAGTAACTATGGATGGGCTATGAAACACAGCTACACATCCACCCTTATTCTTGCTGGGGACAGCTTCCCTCCTCTGAACCCTTTGTAAAATTTCTAAGCCATGGTTCATTTGTAGGAAGTCATATTTACAATGATGTCCTCTGTCCAGTTCCCCAACCTTCCTCTTTAGATTGGAAGATGAATCAAGCATTCAGAACTTAACTCTGAATCTGCTAAATCTGGTTTCACAGAGATGGAGAGGCTCATCCAGCTTCCTGTGAAACTGCCATCAAACTTTACTTCTGGCAGAGATTTACACTTTAAAAATGTATTTTTTCTATTATCTATTCCCTTGTCACAATACAACCCATGTAGTGGCTCCACAGTGGCCAGTGAAAGGACATTAGTGTCAGGGTGTTAAACATAAAGCAACTCTTGGGTTTACTGCTGCTTTCTTTCTAGTTACTTATACTTCTAGAATTAGATTATCTTTACAGTTGCTTAAAATGCTGATACCTACATACCTAAGCGATGAAATCCAAAAGTGAACCTCTTTGTGGGAGATTTTGCAGACAGCCAGAGAGCAAGCAGGGTCAAAATAATACCGCTAAGATCAGTTAACATATGAAGTGCATCTGTCATAATTGCTAGACTGTTAGCAACATATCCACCTGAAAAGAAAGTTGGAAAAGTCAGGACATACAACATTAATGAGTGTAGATAATATCCTTTTGGCACAGCTTACAGTTACTTATTTTCAGAACAGTACATTAAGTGCATGAGAGCTCTTGTTGTAATCACTAAATGGGGTATTTTGCCATTGCAATCAAAATGCCATCCTATAATTTAAAGCTACCATAGTTACAAGCGCAGTGAAGTGTGCTTTCTGTTAAGAGTAACATAGAACGGATTCCCTCCTGTCATTCTCACAGACTACTTGCATCGTAACATTTGCTAGATCAGGACCAAAGCAGTTTTGTTTCTTGTCTCTGTGTGTTAATGTGCATGTGTTTAATAGTTGATCCTTTCTGTTAAATATTTTGACATTATGGAACAGGGACAGAAATCCAGTGACTCAGTGGCAAGTAGATTCACCCTGCCCCCTTATTATTACATTATCTTGTAACCTTCATTATTCCCTGTCCTGGCAGGGCTATGTTCTGCCAATACATACTGAAGGCAGTGACTTTCACTTGAACAGCATTTTTCTTTGTTATTTATTACCATAATTTTTCTCGTAATTATGAGCTGTATTGAGACAAATAACCTCAGATCAAAGGTTAGTATCTTTGTTCCAATTCAGCTGCTAATGCTGTTGTATGGGCAAGAGATTTAAACAATGTGACTCTCTTAAGCACCCCTTATCCAAAGGGGAATCAAGGACAGGCTTCCTTGTCTTCCATATGCATGAAGTTAAGCCCATTTTCTCAGAAAAGATCTCATCTTTAGTGTCAGCTAAGTTATGATTTACTTTCTCTTTTTACCTTGAGATTGACATTCAGCCTGTAAATTCTCCTGAGCAAAGCATGCAGCTGGCATGCCATTTGGCAGGCTTGAGGCTCCAACTAACATTTCGAGTAAAAGTATCTTCATCTACAATTAAAACTGTCTTAGTGAGGAGGCTGACCATGAGGAAATAGCAAAGGGACATTCATAACTGGCTGACTGCTTTCAAGACGAGTCATAAAACCTGTGTGTGTATGGCTGTGTGAGTATGCACACACCTGCAGCCTGAGATACCCTCTCCAGCCAAACACAGGCAGCATGGCTGATGCTGTAGTATTGCTTGTACTGTAGGTAACTACCAAATACATAGTTCAACTAGTTCCCTTCCTCCATCCCCCCCTTCTTCAGTTGTTCCTGTTTCTAAGTCAAATTCACCTAAGGCTGAAATTTTTCAAAGGCCATCACAGCTCAAAAGTTTTTAAGATTTAGCAGTTCATCAACTTTTTGGGTTATGCCCTCCCATTCTGAATTAATTTCTGTTCTCGTGTAATTTTAAATAATTACTTAGAAATATGCAACTCGGCCTCTTCTACAGTCAACACAGAGGAAACAAGAATTTGTATCTAAAGCATTCAAATCAGCTTACATATGTGATCATTTAGAGTGTGTATGTTAATTCCCATGTATTAATTTTGAGAATCACTTCTGTCTGAGATGAGTCAGTTTCATTTCAGCTAGCCTTGCACTTTGACAGACTTCAGAAATAAAATGATAAGGAAGGAATTTGGATACTGAAGCAATCGTAATGCAGCATGTGGACTAAGAAAACATAACTGAAATTTATGAAATTCTGAAATCAAAGGTTCTCTCTTTCCAAATGTATTGGTTCATTTCTTGGTTAAAGGTACTGAGTCCTGAGGGTTGTTAAACACCATCGGCAACTTGGGAAAAAGAGACATCTACAACCTGTACAAATAGACAGCTTGATGGCTCAGCACTGCCTTCAGTGACCTGTGAAGGACAGCAGTCCTCCTCATGAACAATCAATTAAAAATCTCTACACATAGCTGAAAACATCAAAACCCTGCCAGAAAATCTAACTAGGACTTGCAATATGTTTTTCATTTTATGATGCAAAATGATTCCCACGAAGCGTAAGTTGTTATCTGACTTGCAATGACTGTTCGTCAAATTAAACAACACGCACTGAGGTGGCCTGGGGTAATGAGCTTGGCTGTACTCTGGAAAACAATCACGATTTCACAAGGAAGCTGTTGAAACAAGATTTCCTTCATCCTGACCTTAGTAACAGACAGCAGGAAGATTTTTACTGAATAACTGAATCACCTGATAGGGTCTTCTGCCTTTTTTTCAGAAGCTAAGAAGAGAAAACTGTCAAAGATCACGAAAAGAAGTCAATTAAAATGTCCTACGGGATTAAACAAAGTTTCCCAAATACCTGAGCTTCAGATCAATGAAAAAGTTCCAAAAGTTGAAACCAAGCAGACAGAACACAATACAGGGCCGGAATGAAACAGTTAAAACAGGTGGTGAGGGCACTGACCCAGGACTCAAGGGCTCCATCTTTAATTACTTGTTCTGCTGCTGATTATTTGCCCTATGACAAGTCATTCAGGTCAAGATCCACCCAAGTAGAGATACCCGAGTCCTCTATTCATTGGTTGTGGAAGTTGGACACAAAGTATTCCAGAGGTCTGGCCCTTAGTACTGTGTGCCTCAGTGCCCAAAACATGAAATAGGGCTGGTGGTACATACATACACCTTATGTTTTACTCTCAACACCTATTATTCCTAGATGTCCCCCTGCATTACCTATGGAGAGATCTACAACAGCGTGAATCGGACCCAAAGTCCCCAACAGATACACCCTAGTGACTTCAGCATCAAGCTGCTGGCAGCTCAGAGATATTATTCAATAAGGGGCTCTTAGGCTGAACTAAATTCAGTGTTTATCAGATCTCTGTTATGAATATAATCAGATGAAATCATGGTTATGTTAAAAGATATCAATGTCTGAGGTACAACACTATGTTCCTTATCAAATTTGCCTGAGTTTATGCTGAACCAAAATCTCAGCCAGAGAAAAAAGAGTATAAATGGATAGCACAATTCAGCATATGCCCACAAAAGGTTTAATGGAATTGCTTTATCCATGGATGGGAAAGCTTATCCATGATAAGCTGATGCACTGTGGCACTGTCATTAATGACTAACCACACACTGAGATTTTGAAGGACAAACCCACTTCTTTCCACTAACCCACATTCTTTGGCCCCCCAGTAAAACTTGTGCAGATATAGTAAGTATTCTGGTCTGTCTCTGAAAAACAGACTGGATTTTTTCCTACGTATGTGGGACAAACTATGTAATTTATCATTGAGCCATGATTTTTCTCCATGTCATCTTACAGAAGTTTCTGTCTTAAAGATACAATTCACAGCTGTCGTACAAGAAGTGATCTGTGATCACAAGCTCACTTCACACAAGCAAATGTCAGACCTATAGACATTACTGACCGAATATGCATAGGTGTGGAGGAGGATGTAGGTCCCAGGCTACTACACCTGAGGCATCTCTGTTCTTTATTTCCAGAAAGTTTTTATGACTTGACTTTTTTCCCACTAGTGAATTATGGTCAATAATTCATACGATTAGCTCTGATTTAGACTTGCATGTTAAAATTAAAGCAATTTAAAGGCAACTAATTGTTATAGTTGCTACAGAGACCTGGCTCAGCACACACATCAATGTCCTGGCACTTAGTAATGCTCTCCATGACTTCAAATCTGGGGATGAGAAAATTTAAGCATTCTTCAGGAGGCTGCACAGTACTGAGCAGACATGTGCACTGAAGGGTATGGACATACCCAAAAGACAGATGGTAACAGGATGCTGATATTGATAAGTGAATGGAGATTGAAAGATAAATACTAGCCTTTGTAAAAATGATTAGCTAATGGAAAAGGAGTAACATCTCCTAGCTCATCTGTGCATCCAGGGCACCCTCAAATTTATTTCAAGCCTGTGCTGCTGTAGCCTATGAAATGAAGCACAGTCCTGCACAGTCCTGTACAAGCTGCTGTCGAGTGCACAGATTCTCTTTTACCTGCATAGCAAACGATAGTGTGACTTTATCAGGGAGCAATAAAAGCTGCATTTGATCACCAGATTAATTCTTCTGACCAACAAGCCACCAGATACCTATACAGGAACAGATTTCCAGGTAAAAACCCACCATGCTTCTGCCAAATACTAACCAACAAACCCCACAAATAATTTAATCAAACTACTTGGTATTCTTCCCTGTTGTAATGGGAAGTGTTAAAATACCTATTAGTTTAACTGACTTTGTGTATATGATTTACGCCTGGATGGAGAATACACTGGTCTCGAGTGCGGCAGGACACCAGGCAGTTGTCAGGCGGGTGGATTCTTATGGCATCCACTCTGATAGCTCTGGGTTTGGCTTTTTGGTTATAAGAAACATTGTTGGTGAATGAGGGTTAACCGTCCCCCAGCATTAGTTTTGATATTATGGTAAATGTCACACTTATTTCCGTCTTGCTGCAAACACAGCGAGATTTTATGTCAGTAGTTAATACTGAGGATGAAATTGTTCATCTTTTTTTTAATGTCTATGATAAAATGCTGCTTCTCCCTTGCTAGTAACACCTTACAAATTTACAAGAAAAACTTACACAAAGAACTAAAAAGCCATTATACATGCAAAAAAAAAAATCCCATTTATGCCGTCTGGGGGACTGATGATATTCAGGTGAGAGAAGCTGCAAATTCCTCTTTCTTTTCTTGCATGGAAAATACAGGTGGACTTTGTTCCTCCTCACTCTCTGAACTTGCAACTAATCTTTGATCTCTCTACATGACAGACCGTTTCTCTTAATAACTACCGAAAGCCAGGGCTGTGAAAGCCTGACAGGCTGCGTGGTCCATCCGGCCGACAGAGCCCCCGACTCACCTACGAGCTCCCCGGTCATAAAGAGGAGGTAGAGGAGGGCAGCGAGCGTCAACCGCTTCTTCACCGTCCTCTGCCTGGAGCGCTCTCGCCGGCTGCTGCAGCCGCCGCAGGGGGCTGGCCGGCCGGTGCGGGCTCCGGCCCGCTCCAGCAGGGACTCGTCGTCGGAGGGCAGGCCCAGGGGCGCCCCGGCCACCGGCGTCTCCGGTGCCGCCTCAGAGGCATCGTCCGACACCACCACCCGCAGCTTGTTAAACCGAGGGAAGTCCTCGTCCCCCGCCTCGTCCGAGAAGTCAAAGGCACTGGAGTCGTTCAGGAACAAGGGGTCCTCGCTCCTCCGCAGCAGGGACTTGATGCTCCTCCAGAGCCCGGGCCCAGCCATCGCGGCGGAGCCCGGGGGCCTCGCCGGCTGCTGCCGAAATCTCCCGCGGGAGGCTCCGCTGGCGCTGCTCCCCCTCGTAGGCGGCACCCGTCCGTTCGCCGTCCCGTCAGGGCATGTCCCCTACATCGCTGTGCTGTACCCTGCGCAGCGCGCACCGGCGCTACCGATCCACCCCACCGCCTCCGCGCCGGGCACCGCTGGCGCTGCCACCCCCGGAGCGCCGAGCCGCCCGCGGAGCCCGTGTCCCCGCCGCGCGGAGCCGGCGCAGCCCCGGTCAGGGCGCAGGGCCGCCTCCCCGCCGGCGCAGGGGGAGCGCCACAGCCGCGCGCGTCACACCCATCAGCGTCGCGCTCCGGGCACCGCTGCGGGGGAGACCGCACCCGAACCCCTGCGCGCTCCCGCGACCGGCGCTGCCCCCGTGCTATTCCCGCGGAGAGGCCGGGCCAACAGGCGGGACACGGCGACCCTTGCGCGCCCGCCGACCGCCGCGGCCCCGGCCAGCACTGCGCCTGCGCCGCCCGCGCGGGACGACCGCCGGTTCGAGTCCCGCAGCCACCGCCTCGCCGCGCCCTGCACCGAGCGCGGAGGTGGCCGGCAGGCGGCGGGGGGGGTCGCCAGGTGCTGTAGTGGTCAACCCGAGATTAGCCCGAGAGGCTGTTTCCGTCCTTACGTGCGCCTGTGCGCGGTGGATATATGTCATGCGAGGTACAGGCTTTCAACTGGAAAAGCCATGAAATCCAAGAACTATGTTGGCAGACAAGCAGTTAGTTCTTTCACATACGCTGGAAGGTGAACTGCAGAGTTCCGTGCTCTGGCTTCAAATTTGAAGAGTCACAAGTTTGCATTGTGTAGCGTAGCTTCTTTCTCTCCCCGTCAAAGGCATGGCACTTCATGCCATTTGCAGCAACTCCCAACAGTTATGGCAGTGTCGTGTCATAGGGAGAAACAAACCTCAGAGGCCCTGCTGTCATATAATTCCTCTCATAACTGTGCTTTAACTTAAGAATAATTAGATTTTTGCCTTTATTAATTCTGTTATGCGTTTATTCCCCCTCTTTGCTGGTCTCAATACCAGAAGTTTTCTTCTAATTTCCATCCTACACATACTCAGTGCCGGTTTGTACCTATGGCCAAATTCTGTTCCTGTGTCAGTCCCCTAAGTCATAAATACTTCTGGAAAATCATGCCTGCCTGAGGAAAAGGACATATCCTGGGTTTTGACCTGGTTGGAGGAAGTTACCAAGTGAAGACCAGGGTTCTATGGAGCTGCAAGATTTTGGAGAAAGGCACTCCCTTTCTGGTCAAGAGCTGATAGCAGACTCTGGCACACATCGGGGCAGTGCTACAGGACATGGAGCGAGCCCCTTCTTGGAACAGGCCCTGCAGGAGGGGAGTCGAGTGTGGTAAACTTCCTGATGTTCTCCATAAAGGTGTCCAAAAATAAGCATTATTGCATTTTGTCTGAGCTCCCTTGGTGCTTTACAAGGTGGCAGCTTTCCTGAGGATGTAATCCCAAATTCTTTCTCAGGTTGGATAAAGGTGCCATTCCTGGCCTTTTTGCCCACCTCATAATTCCCCCAGCAGGGTTGCCAGCACAATTGTTTTGGGGCCAGATGATGAACTGTGTCCCTGAAATGGGGCAGAATTTTAAAATGCACATTGGAGGGGTCTGAGATATATTTGTATGTGTGACTGAGATGGCTTCTGTGATCACAACTTGCATAGACACCCATATGGCAGCTGAGGGGGCAGCGAGCAGTGTGGGAGTCAGCCTGAGCAGTGAGGCTGGGCCCTGTGCAGCCAGCCTTGCTGCCCAGGGAGAAAAGCACTCCGACTGTGTTCCAAGTTCAGCCATTCTTAATGGTTTTGTTTGCCTCGCTGGGTGGTTTAACTCTCTGTTTCACCACTTGTACCAGCACAAGTGCATGAGGATGCACACACATAAGAGACCAGCCAGGCAGGGGCTTGCAAAACTACTGCTTGTAAAACTCATCAGGGGGTGGTACAATAGGCTCATGCTCCATCCTGCTGCTGCTTCTGCAGGATCAGAAACTTCTCACACTGAGGAAAGGCAGCATGTCGGGGGGCTTAACACCCTAAACCAGCAAACCAAGGTTTGCCAGCCTGCCTTTTACTGAATAACTAAGACCAGATTTTTCTGAAGCATTGTCAAGAACCAAAGCATGCATTGTCAAGATGAACCTCTACTGAACAGTGCCTTTTGTAACAGCCTGTCCATTTCCTCACATTCTGCCCATGGATGGGTAGAAGAGCTGTCAGCTGAAGAGTCTGGGTTCTTCAGTTTCCTTGGGGTAGCTCTGTTGCTGCGTAGGGACTATAAATCCCTTCAGCTCATTTTTCAGAGATGTCCTCAGGAAGGTTTTCTTTCTGACTAATTAAAGCTTTTTCATTGTATGGCTCCATGGATTATGGAGTTTGTTGTTGCATGGTAACTTATTTTTAGATAGCAATGGTAATGCTAGTACTGACTTTGCACAACTCCTTGAAATTAAGTATTTAGACCAACAGGTAACTGCTTTTTGTTAGTTTGACCAGATATTTGTGTTCCTTATTATAGGGTTCACTTAACTTCCTTTTCAAACATCTTTTTGTCTTAGAATAAAACCTTACCTAATTCTTCACAGGATAATGAACTTGGGAATGCACTTGGGAAATAGTTACTGTGAAACAGAGAACATTTTGCAGAGGAAAAGGAGCGAGAGGCTTTCTATCAATCTCTTTTAGGAGCATTTGAGTTGATAACTAGTTAAATTTTAACTTGCCTAGAAAAACAGATGCCAATTTTATATTCCAATCCTTAGTCTATTTCTGCAAGATGTGGGAGGGCCTGGAACAGGCACAGCAGGAGCACAAATCTGAAACTCCCACAGCTCAAATGAGACTATTTCAGAGTGATTATCTCACTGGTTCTTACTAGAAATTCCATCTGGAAGATGAGAAGTCTTTCCCAGTGAAACTTTCCAAAACTTTTCTGGTTTTCCCCATTGCTAACCAGTTGTAATTGAAAATTTGATTTGAGTCTTAAGTTAGTTGACAAGTCCCTGTTGTTGCAGTCCAGCTTCAGACCAGGCCTTTGATGCTTTTTTAAAGCAAAAGCCAAAAAAGAAAGAAAACCAGGTCAGGTTTTAATCTGATGACAAAGCAGTGACGAAACTGTGAACAATAATTACGTAGAATATATATGTGAAGAAAAATATAAATGAAGTTGCAATGATCTTGTTAAAAGTGTCAACTTTAAGGATCATAGATCATCTTCAAGTCCTTTTTTTTTTTTTTTTTGCCTGTTTTTGAAAAGCACTACTGGGACTACCTGAATTTCATTTAATCTTGAAGATTTGGGCATTTATGGAAATAATGCATTCAAACACTTTGTGAGTGGTGCCTTCACTGGTTTCTTTACATAGCTGTGCCTGACTTTCCTAAAAAGACCTTTATAAATGATAGAGAAAAAATATATAAATCTTACCATACCAGAAAATGTTTTACCAATAATAAAATACATAAAGTTATTATTACTCTTACAGACTGCTGGGCTACATGCAGAGACAGGTACATACACGAAAACTAGCTCAGATTCCTTTTCACTAAGGAACAAAAGCTGAAAGTAGTGAACAATCTGCATGATTACTGGAGAACAGAACGCAGATGTGTGCAGAGCAGGAGACAGCATGTCCTCAGGAGGGGCTGCCCTGCAGCGGGGTTGGTTGGGGTTTATCCCTTGGCAGCAGCACTCGCCGACTTGCCCTGTGCGAACCGCCCGGGACCTGTTATTCCCCAGCACCGTAACTCCACCGGCCGCTGCTGGTCGCCTCCACCTCCTCTCCTCTCCTCTCCCCTCCCCTCCCCTCGGCTCGGCTCGGCTCGGCTCGGCTCGCTGCACCACCACCGCCGGGAAGGCTCTGCGCTGAGCACCCAACTTGCCCCTTTGGCTCTTCCCCTCGGCTGCCCCGCCACTCACGGGCGTGCCCCCACTGCCCACCGGCACTGCCCCAAGGCAGCTCTGTGTGTGACACCGGCGGCTCCGCCCGGCCCGAGGCAGCACCCGCCCCCCGACCGGGGCTTCGAGTGTCCGTCGAGCTTCATTTCCGCATCCGGCCCATCCAGTCAGCTGCGCGCTCAGGCAGCTCTATGGTGCGGCGCCGGGTAGGGAGGAGGCCCGCGCGGAGTCATCCTGCTCGGTGACGGCGGTTACAGCCCCGCGGCTCCCTGCGCCACCGCCTCGACTCGGTCTCCTGCCCTGCGGCAGGGTGCGGCAGCGATGAGCCTCGCGGAGCGGCCTGAGGAGAAGGTGTTGGCGACCGCGGGCACCCCCGTGCGCTCGTTGGGTACGTGAGGGGCGGCTGGGCTGCCCCGGGCGAAGGCGGGTGCGGAGGGTCGGAGGAGGGGCTGGGGCCACAGGCGGCTGGCGGCCTTGGCAGAGCTGAGCGGCCAAGCACAGCAAGGTCAGAAGGCTGGGGCCGGATGCACCGGAGACCGAATGCGTTCCGGAGCCACTGGCTCCTTTTGTGCTGTGCGGTGTGGCCTGTGGATCGAAGTCCTGTGTCTTCAGTAGGTCTGCACGTAGTAAATAACCATAGTTTGCCCATACGAAATTTACAGTAATTATTATCTAATGCTTGCAGACTTTTAAAGTTAAGCGTATGTGGTGTTTTGATGAAGTCCGAGTATGTTTTGAGTGACAGGCTAAGACCTTTACTCAGCAGGCCTGGTTTATTCCCTAACTTTGAAAGCAAAGGGTGGCAGTGTGTTAACATTTAAGTATTCTTGATGCATGGCCAGAACAAGTGATACTGTCCCTCTTTTTCCTCTGTAGACTAGAGGAGTTTTTTATATACATAAGATGTCTTTGGAACACTCTTACTTCTCTCTTTTTGCTCTGCTCATGTTCAGAGAAAACTGTTCACTGGGAAGTTCATGATATGGGACTGGGAACAAGGGTGGGATGAAGAAGGACAGGGAAGAGGAGGCACAGTTGATAAAGTGTAAGGAGGTATAACTTCAGTGTTGAAACGCTTTTAATTTTTAAACAGGAAAATCCAGCTGTTTTAGGTGAAACATTAAGTGCATGCTGACCTGTCACTGTTTTTTGGTGTAGATCCTAGTGATGCATCTCCAGATGAAGGGGTAGTAGAAGATCTGCCTTTGATAGACGAGAAAGCTGTGGAGCAGCTGACTGAAGGACTGCTTTCTCATTATCTGCCTGATCTTCAGCGATCAAAATCAGCACTACAGGAACTTACGTAAGCAAATTTGTAAAACCAGCTTGTTATATGTGCATACTTTGTTTGCCACGTTTTTTGGGGGTATAATGTTCTAGCTGCCCTTAAGCAGGATATAGCTTATTGAAGCATTTCTGTGTTCTGACTATAGATCCTTAATATTTAAGTGATTTGCGTGAGTATTGGAGTTGTAAAAACTGCAGTGTGTCCTATCAGAGCTTGTGTAATGTTAAAACACTAAAATCTCCTAAGCCAGGTATAATAGAAGACACATAGATTTCTTAAATCCTTCTTCATTCCTGTAGAGGCAAGTCTGCTGAAAGCTGGATTTGTTTTACTTTCAGAGATGGAATTCATATTCAGGGCACCTGGTAGTGTGTGGTATATTGTTTGTTGTCCTGTTTCTGAACTGTGTTGCAAAAGATGTACTTAGAGAATATAATTTAGGAGCTAAAGAGGGAAGAGTTCTCTGTATGTTGTCGTCTTGCTGATAGCTGAGAATAGTTTATTTCAAACATGAGCTGGATCTGCTATGGATGCAGAGATGCTGGAAAGGACTTTAAACCTATCTCCTTGGGCTTTGCAGGGTATATTGATTTTGGTTTCAAAATGCGTGATGGGGTTATGCTGCTGCCAGAGATAGCCTGTGTCTGGAAAGACTTCAGCTGATTTATGTGGTGTGAAGGATCCTCAATAAGCACCAAGGATCAAATAACTTAGTCGTGTAACATGATGCAGAAGTACCCGAGTGCAAAGTCAAGAGCTAATTGTTCTTCCCTTCATTCAACCAAGGGCATTTACTCACTGCAGCCTGCAGAGTGCATGCTCAGGTTTTTGGGATATCTATCTTGGATATCCATGCTGTACAATGCCAGCTGAATTTGTGTGTACTCAGCTGGGATTTTTCTAGGACCACTTACTCATGTCTATTGAAATTGCCTACCAATGCATAAAAGGGATCTGATATTGGGAAACATGTATTTATATTGTTGTGATCAAAAGTTGTATTTATTTAAAGGGGTGGTTAAAAAAGAGTATATGCTGCTTTAGTTTGGTTTTATGCATCTTTTCTTTGTTTCAGACAGAACCAAGTGGTATTGTTAGAAACATTAGAACAGGAGATTTCAAAGTTCAAAGAGTGTAACTCCATTCTTGAAATCGATGCTTTGGTAAGTGTTACTAATGCTTTCTTAAATCTCTATTAGTGTAGATTTTATTGCTGAAGCATTAATAGCAACTTGTGTTTTTTCCTTCTTAATGACCTGCAGGAAGAGAACCAACCAGTTCAGGTATTCAGGATAAATTATTGCTGGAGAGGGTGCAGAACCAGCATGTTCCCCTTAAATAGGAAGAGTAGTGGGGGAAAAAAAAAAAGCAGGCTCAGGCAGTGGTAGTAAGTCCAGTTGTCAAAAATTAGCAGCCAAAGCAAAGGTATGCCATTTTTCAATAGAACTGAGGCTCCCATAAGAGCTCTGTGCACCTTTCCAGGCTAGCAGGAAGGTGGCATGAAACACTGGTATATGGTGCATAAAATGGTAATATTTTTATTCTGTTTAACAAGTCTTAATCCAGCAGATTACTGGGTGTACCTGCTGTAATATGGCAATTTTCTATAGTACATGTAATATGTAAACTATATATAAACTTGAACATGTTTAATCCATTATCAAACTGTTCTGGTAATCACTGGTTTTGATTGCTGTTTGCTGTGTAGCTTCATAGAACAACTATTCCAACTTGACAGTTGTTGCTTTTAACGGTTATGGTTTTTTTTAAGTTTTCAGAAGCTAAACACTATCACAGCAAGTTGGTGAATATTAGAAATGAAATGATGATGCTCCATGAGAAGACAACAAAGCTAAAAGTGAGTGGGATAAATATTTTTACTTTCCAACATAGATATCTATTTACTTATGAATTATTGACTTTGATTTTTGGATGCACACTGAAAGTTCTGATTAAAATAGAATCCTCAATCAACCAAAGTGGAATTTTTCTGTGGTGCTAAGCCATGTATGTTTTTAAGCTTTTATTTACTCCTACCTGTGCTTGAGCAGTGAATCTGAGCATCATTGTCATGTTCAGATAGTATCATGCTTTGTTCTCTTGCTTAATCCACTCTATTCCAACTAGTTCTTTTCATTTTTTCAGTTTCTGTGCCTCTTTAATGAAAACTAGATTGTCATAAATGTAAGGATTTTTCCTTTTTAATGTAATGTCAGCAGTGACATAAATTCACTGACTTCATCCTATATAGGCAGTCTCTGGTTACATTATGGCAAGATTAGTCCTTTGGTACATTCAGCAAAAGGATTTTCTCTGGGAGGCAATAAATTGCCTGATATGCCCCTTGTCTGGTGCATGCAAAGGATGACTTCTAGTGAGAGTGAAGGGAATCCAGTTTGTATTTTCCCTGTGTAGGTCACAAATTTGCCATTCTTGAACAGTAAGATAGAAGTGGGAGGGAGGAAGAAAAAATGAAGTTTATGCAGCATTCAATCATAAGCAGGGTGGATTGGAAAAGATAACGTTAAGAGGATGGGAGGGCTTTTGTTTGTGGCTCCAACTTAAATACAGCTATAAATTATTATTGCAGCTATATTATTTTCTTGTCTTTTCTGTTTAGAAAAGAGCACTGAAGCTGCAACAAAAGAGGCAGAAGGAAGAACTAGAACGAGAACAACAACGTGAGAAGGAACTTGAAAGAGAGAAGCAGTTAACAGCAAAACCTGCTAGGAGGATTTGAAAGCAGAGCATGCAACAATCTCTCTGAATTAATAGCTTCTGGATTTTCTGGAATTACGGCAGATGCCTCTCAAATGAGGCTATAGCTGTTACTAGCAACAATCTACTTTCTAGTATTATAAAGTCCAGAATGGTAATAATAGGGTGGGTAACATGCAGATTTTTTCATTTCAGCCATTCAAGTTGCCTTCTTTTGTAATATTATGCAGTTTGATATATAATGTAAGTTAAATTTTGTATATCTATGTGTATATAGGGGAACTTGGGCTTCACAGTTCTAAATACCTATAATTTTTTTTTCATCTGTTGTTCTTGTGTTTAGAATTCTGAGATACTCTTGGTGACTGGCACATACACACAACACAATACCAGTTAAAGTTCAGTTCTCATCACCAGACTTCAGTGGCTGCCCATTTCACAGTTGAGATCTCTTTGGGTTCATAAGTACTGACTCTTTGTGCAGTCTCAGTTTGGTCTATGTCTACTGAACTGAAGAAAGTTCCAGTGTATTTCCCTTAAAGCTCACTTTACTGCAGCAGTCTTTCTCTTTTTTTTGCTTTATGTAACTTCTGATTAAATTCTCAGCTGGATTGGTGCGGGAGGGAAGCAGGACACTAAAGGTCTCAAAACTGATTTGTGCACAATGCAAAGATGAATGAATTTGTGCTTCCACAAACATTGGAGTCAAACCAAGAATCTCTTACTTATGTAATGGTCCAGCAGGATGACTGTGTGGTCCATGCAGATTTCTGGAAGATTAGAAGGTGTAGTTTCCTCATTCTGTGTGATGAAATAAAACACAACCAAAATGCAACAATTTCCACTTCACATGAGTTGCAGTTACACATAGGGAAAACTACTGCGTTTGTTTTTTTTTCCTTAACCCATGTTTCACTTGCACTTCAGGGCTGTGTAAGAGAATTTCTGTTACACTGTCCTTGCCCAAGTTGGCGATTAGTAGTGTGTACTGATGATACATGTGGAATAGAGGCTGATGACCTTTTCTCTGAATGTAATTGCTCTCTTGCAGCACTTGGTGTGAGCTCCCATTCAAATGAAAATACATGTTGTCTAGACTGGTGAAAGAACTTAAACTATTGGTTCCTACAATCTAAGAAACTGCTTATTTTATATCTGTGGTGATTTTTTAGTACTGTACAATTGGTGTGTTTTGAAGTAAGGTGAAGGGTAATCCATGTAAACTTTTACATAAGATCTCTATGGTGAGGTATCAGAGGGCGTCAGTCAATTTTTTTTACACAGTGTGCACCTACTTGCACTCTTCTGTATTGCAATTTTCTGAGCTTATTTCCTGTTCTTGTCATGTTTTTCTGTGAAAGACACTTTAATGAGTAATCACCCAACATGAAAGGTAAACTGGGATAATGTTTTGGAGCAAGGAGAACAAAGTACTTGAAGTAGTCTGAAGAGACACTGAAATGCTGTTACAGGAGCAGTAATAGATTAAAATTTTTCACAGGTACTTTTCCTGTAAGTTGACTGGTGTCTGTTCATTGCCAGTGGATTGTTGGTGTGTGCTGCGGTTTGTATTTCTAAGAGAAATGTACAGAATTTCCACAGTCCCTTTTTGGAGTGGAATGTACATGACTAAATGTTATTTTAATATTTTATTTTGTAATTTAATTTCAAAACTAGATTCTGGGAATTTAAACAGTTCCTCCTAATGTATAACGTGAAACTAGATGCCTCAGTATCCAAATTGGGATTAAATTTCTGGGGTATTTGTTTGGGGTTCTCTCATCTAGAACCCAGTATAGTGTTTCAAGTGGTGGTCTCTTTGTGAAGAACTGGCGGGTTTTTGTTTTGTTTCAAAAATTGTGGCTACATTTACTGAAAATGGAGAATTTTAAGCACAGAAATTCCGATCAAAGGAATAAAAGCTGGCAGTGCTTGCCTGAGGAATCACATACGTAAAAATGTAGTAATTTTTCATGTTGTGGTAAAATCTGTTTTCTGTATGAATAAGTAATTTTACTAAATAATCTTTTTGTAATAAAGGAGGAAATTAATATATGGGGGGGGCAGTGTTTGGTCTGTTCACATAACTTTTGTTTTATTAATCATTTCAGTCAAATCTGCAATTTATTATCTTCATATGATGTTGTTCTTCAGAATACTCGTGTCATGATGCATAAAATGCAGCATTGGATTAATTTAACAATAATCCTCTAAAATGATATGCCAGCATTAATATGCACAGCTAAAGTAAGTATACATTTAGTCTTCCTGTTACTGTGTATACATTTAGTCTTGCTTGATTTTACAATAAAACTACTTATCCTAGTAGATCAGTGTAGTAGTCTTAGACATTATCATACTGACTTTTTATTCCATGCATATGAGGAAGCACAGGTAAACTGTGTCTTTTTAAACAGTTAAGTTTTAAAATGTTCTCTTTTTATACTATTTCATAGTCAATGTAATCGCTTGTCAAATCATGGCAGTAAAAGTAAGACACTTAACTGTGTGGTAACGCTGAATTTTTATTTTGTAAGATACTACAAATTTATGAATTACTGTTGCTAACTGAGGAATCTTGGTTTCCTGTGCTCTTATCTTTATTATTCTTAAACTGGATGCTTAAATTGGGTTACCCCACCTATAGCCTTACAGCTTTACATGAGCCAATTTTTAATCCAGTGAAATCTGGGTTTTTCACTAATCGTGGTACCTTTGCTATGTTCATAAAACAAAATTTGTTTCCTTTTGGAAAAAGGCTACTGAAGACTTTATTTGGTTTTATTTGTGTGACCTAAGAGATAAGAGCATAAATAATAGCATAGAGGTTGTTTCCACAGCTGTTCAGTTGGGATTCCAGCAGTTGAGAAGAGTTCTCTGGTCAATTTATTCTGAATTACCCTTCAGTAGACGCTTTCTGCCCTGCCACCTGCTGCTTGCTTTGCAGCACTGCTGCCTATTCTTAATTCTCACCTTGGTGCTTTAATGCCTCACCTTGCAGGTGTCATTTTTTTTGTGTTTTAAGCTTCATTAATTCTATTAAGTTATTCGATCTTTCTTGGAGTAGTTGTATGACTATAACTAAATTACCGGTAAAAACTTTGCAGGTTTTGGAGTTAGTGATGTAAATCTGTATGAATACAATTTACAGGAGCAAAATTATTCAGTATAGTTATTCATGTGAGGCAAAACAGGGTGTAAGGTAGAAAGATTATTAATTTTTAAATCAAAGTGTAAGCTTAAATTGGAATAAACAGTTTATTTTGGTACAAATATCACTGCTTTCCAGTAATTTGAAGTACACTTCTTATTTTATTGTTCTCAGTCTTTGACAGAGTGATTTATAGAAAAACAGGCACCGAAACTAGACAGTCACATCACCACCAGCCCCCACACACACACACTGTATGTCTTCAAAACAGACCTTTGTGATACCAGCACAGCCAAGAACTCTTATGATCTGACAAATACAATTTTTCAGATATTCTCCCTGTAGCTGATAGAACTAAAACTAGAGCTGGGAAGAACAGCTTTATTCTTTCTGCCTGACAGTGTCACAACAGTGCTGGTGTAAAAATTTTAACCACTGTCCGCCAGGCAGGAGGTGTTGCCAGCCATGGTCCCAGAGGGTTATGAGTTAAGTCCATGATTTAAGTGTTATTCATGACATGTGTAGCTTTAAAGTACAGATGTTGGCACTGCCTGATAACTCAGTATTTCCTTTTCTTTCACACCTATCTATCTGTTCATCTCTGTGGTGTCAAGTCATGGGGTTTAGGAGAGGAAACAGAGCAACACCCTGCTTGGCAATCAGAACAGTTGCAACAAACGTATTCAGCTTTTACAAACTCGCAACTCAATGAAGCAAATAATTTAAAGCTTGATAAAGAGTAATTTCAGATGTGTACATATGCAAATACAATAGTCTCTAAAGAAGTCATTCGCAGAAGTAGTTAATTTTGCACTGTCATTCATGTTAAGATCCAAGACAAGATAAATCTGATCTATTTTGTTTGATATGTTGCAATGAAAATACATCCCAGCACTGCTGTGAAAACAGGACCATCGGTACATGTGCTGGTCAGCAAAACACTATCTGGAAATCAGTGATAGAGTTTATTGCCTTGATGAGCAAGTCTTCTGTCACCTGGGATTCAGATAAAAAGTAATATCCCTCTATATTAAATACGACCTGTCAGAGAAAGAATAGAACAATAAATATGAACTCTTTTCTACCCCACTGCCTGATGTAGAACCTTTTCAGTGTTCCTACCTCTTCAGTGCTCAGCTGAATTTGCTGGTTTCTCAGTCTTTAAACCAGTAAAAGTCATGTTGATACACCATGTATTTTTTGTTCTGGTTTGCTTCTGCTGCTACTGGGTTTCTTTTATTTTACTTCTGCTTCTTTTTGTTGGCCTTGCAGATGCTGTTATTTAGAGGTATGCCAGAGGAAGTGTATCTCCCAAGGAAAAATACCAAAGATGATGTGAAGCAATTACTGCTTTCCTTCTGCATCACCCAGTGTTACTAGAATTCATTTGAAATTGTGATTACTATCAGGTAGGCACTTTCAGGGAAGAATAATCCCCATTCTGGAGAACTTGCAACCTAAGCCTAGGCAGACATGTAGATGATGCCCTGTGGAAGGGTCAGTATTTAATGTGCCAGGAGGTGGATGCTCCAGGCTTCCCAGGAATGATTAATCTTTAGGATTGCTGCTTGCAGGTAACCTGGTAATGTTCATGTGTCGAGTATCAGCTGTCCAGATTTAGGATTGGAGTTAAAGCTCATTTCAAAACGTACAGCAGCACATGTGTTAGGATTTTGGTTTCAGAGGCACTCAGAAATGAGAAATGAGACGGCATTAGACTGAGAGGGAGGGTTTATTTCTGTGGCAGTGCTTTCATGTAGAATAATGCTGTATGAATCTTCTGTGGAACTAGTGTAGGGTGTGCCAAGCCTTATGCAAGCTGTGGAGGGGGGGAAATCTGTTTTGGCAGCCTTTTGACCTTTGGCTTTTTTACTTTTATGATGTTTACACATTTTAGCCTGGTGTAGCTATTTCTAAGTAGCTGTGGGAAGTGTTACTGAAACCTCACATACATGTATGGAGCTACTAAATACTGGGAAGTGCCTCAGAGGGTGATTTGTCTCCTGTCAAAATTAATGATATCTTTTGGCTAAACCTGCTTCTTGGACTTTATATATTTTTGTGAGAATAGCCACTGACAGGGAATGAGTGCAGGTTTTTACAAACAGGCAGTGTGAATCATGGTAATTCAGTGCTGTGGGCTTATCTCCAGCACCCTCAGTACCTGGCAGGGAAGGGAATGTCTGTGATAAGAGTAAATTGTCAGGCTTGACTTTATGATTCTTGGCCTTCAGCTGTAAGCTGAGAAAAGCAACTGCCACTTCTTTTCTACAAATAGAAGCTCAAAGTAACACAGAGCACAAGCAGGCTGAGAGTACTGGCCCGTTCATGACTGGCTGGCCGGCCATGAAGAGCAGCAACATGCTTCTGCTGAAGTAATGGCAGCTGCGGAGTTGGGACACAGAAGCCGTTCTTGTTAGGAAATGCCAGGTGTGATGCAGCCTGACAGGGTGTGCCAGGGCCTGACAGGGAAACTGCTCTTCCAGTAGGCACTCTGTAGAATGTGTAGTTCCTTTCTGCATCTTGCATTGTGTGCAGACAGGGGAACAGCCTTGTGGTATCTTCCCATTTGACTCAACATATTTCCCCCATTCTATATAGCTGTCCACACTCTGCTGTGTATCTGTTGAGCAGTTTTACCTGTGCAGGCACTTTGTGCCAAGAGGGGAAGATTGAGCCTGAGAAGGAAGTGGCCTGACATGTGGTACGGATGTGTTGGTTATTTGGTGCAAACAAGTTGGCACAAGTAATTTTGTAAGTTACTCTCAGCACTAATCTTCACATGACTTTTTTTGCCTTTATGAACATGATTTAGTGGATTAACAGCTGTTCTTACTTCACACTGTCACCGCGCCGTATATCAAAAGCCCAGTAAAGTTTTCAGGGGAAACATTTTAAAGTTTGGCTCAGCAGTGGGCTGCAATTGGGTGAACAGACACAAGAGGTAGCAGCTCTGCTCTCTGCAACTGAAAGGCTTCTTTCTCCATGTATCCGGGTGAGTTACATCCTGAGTTCAGCTTAGGACTCCAATACTTTGACTTATTTTTCTTTCTTAGTAGTTCATGTATTCTAATGCGGTGGGAGGCCACACTTCAGGCTGATGTTTGAGATAGCAAGCTGGAATGGCAGTTGGGTTAGAGATGCAAGGACATGTAGGGGAAAAAAGAAGACTAACGTGAGCCCACGGCCAAGGTTGCTGCGGTGCTGAAACGTGTCAGCCCTCGGTGGGGGGCGGTAACGGGAGGTCAGGTGCCTCAACGTGAGCGGCACGGCACAGCATGGCCCGGCCGGGCCCTGCCCTTTGGCCCGCCGGGCGGACGGGCGGCACCTGCTGCCGCCGGGCTCCGCCCCGCCGCTCTCGCTGACAGTACTCGCCGCTTGTATCGCGCGCGGGGCGGCGGCGCGCTCCTTGCCCCCGCTCTGCTTCTCGGCGGCCGGCGCAACAGGCAGGCAAGTGCGGGTGCGGCCGCCGCAGGGCCGCAGCTCGGGGCCGGCGAGCGGGACGAAGAGGGCGGCGGCCATCGGCCGCGGGACGGGAGGGCGCTGTACCGTGCCCGCGGGCAGACTGCCGGCCTCGGCTCTGCGCCGCCAGCCGCGGCCGCGGCAGCGCCCCGGCTGCGGGGCTCCTGGGGGCCCGGTGCGGCGGGTCGCGGGTGCACGGAGTCCTGTCGCTGTTCCCAGCTGTTGCGTCCCCTGCAGCAGCGGGCGCTGCTCCGTGCGGGACCTCACCGTGGGTGTAGAGCCGGATGCAGCGAAAGGCAGCGCCCGCCGGGGCTGCGCTCGCCGCCCCTCGGGATGTCCGACGCGGCCGCAGCCGCAGCGGCAGTAAGCCCCGGGCGCGCTACCCGCGGTGAGCCCGGGGGCTGCTGGCGGCTGCGAGCCCGGTGTGAAACGTGTGCGGAGCTTCGGTGCGGGAAAGCAAGCTGCTGCCGGCCCCTAGCGCGCTGGGGCTGCCGAGTGTTTGTGCAGGGTGGACTACTGAAACTTACCTGCGGCCGGCTGTTCAGGGGGAGTTGTAGTGATCTTTATTCTTGTTAGTAAGACTTTGGTAACTTTGTTCTAACTCCTTGCAATAGATCGTTCATAAACTGGCTCAGTGAAGTAGTCAGTCTTGGGAGCTGAGCATACGATAGATACACGAGGTGTTGCGCTTCAGTTAAATGTTTGTTCAGGCACTAGAACTTGTGCCTCTCAAGGATATTTGAATGTATAGACCTGGCAAGAGAATGGCCTGTAACACTTGGTGTTCTGCATGTGTCCCTTGGATCTGAGGATGTTCTGTAACACCTCGTCTGTAGGTAACACTGCAAAATGAAGTGTGACAAAGTGCCTTCCGTGTTAGGTCAGCTAGTGGACATAGTGAGTACATGAGAGAAGAGATGGAATTTTGGTGCTTGTAATGAACCACTTCTTTTGTGATTTGTCAGTATCCTATTTCTGAGTTGTCCCTGTCTTTATTGTATAGGTGCTGATTTTTATTTACTTGTGGCTGTTAATACACAGAGAGCTGTAGCCAAAGATAACCTTTACGCTTTGAGCTTGTTTATGGGCTGGATGAGGAACACTTACCCCATTCTGTTGAATCTGCTGTTTTCTTTGATTGGAATTGGATAAAGTACACAAAAATATGGAATTGTAATGTAGTATCTAACCAGGTTGTTTTCAGCAAGGTTCTTCTTTAAAGAAAAGCTTAAAAGAAGTTGGTAAACAATTAATTTCCTCTGTGATGATTGTAGAAGCGTCATTAATTTATTTTTATGAACAGCATAATGAAGGTAGTTCCTATGGTTTGTTTTCTCAGTCTCTCAAAGGGATTTAAGCTGCTAACACTGGAAAACAATGTTGTTTTTTTTTAACTGAAAAGTTACTATATTTATGTTTGTGCCACCTTAACCCGCTCAATGGCATTCAAACACTAAATAATACTGAGCTCTCCTTGTCAGTCTTAACTGATTCTTTTTTAAGTGCACTTTCTTCAGACTTACTGTAAAAGCATGCAAACAAGTAGCCTTGGAAGAAAAGGGATTTATGAATAGAGATGTGACAGTTGCTGACTACCTGCAAGCTAAGTCTGATTTTTAAAGAAACCAAAAAAAAAGTTGTTTTTAAAGAAGGAAGAGGGGGGAAAGCTTTGCCGTGCTGCCTGCCCTAGTAGAGATGACATTTTTTTGTCCATTAACTGTGAGTCACATCACCCTGGGTTTTATGTGGTGTGAGTTGTGCTGCAGTAGCATTACACAAGCTGCTGATGCTGTAATAAACCACTGTGACTTGAAAGCATTTGTGAACCAAACTTGACCTGATGACAGACCTAGTTTTAAATGGCAGAATTCAGGCGATGCAGAGCCCTCACTGAGGCAGAGGAGTGTATTGTAGGCTTTACCTTTCTAGGCAGTGCTCTAAGATTTGTGTACGGATCTCCATTATGTATGTGGTTTCATGGTATATGAGGCTAATATCAATTGTGCATAATTTAAAGGATGGTGAATGTGTGCTCTGTGTTGTCTTGTACAAGCTTAAGATTTCAGCTCAGTTCAGTAGGCTAACTACATATCTTCCCCTTTACCTTTATTTTTGTTCTGTTTCTTTATCTCTAGTGTTCAAGGTGGAGGGTTTATGTGTTGCTGACTGACTTGATCATACAGCTGCTGTCTAGCTTAGGAGTTTAATATGAAGGATTTTGCTGTTTTTTTTTTAAGATAGCTGTCTACAAATGACACTTGGGTTTGTTTCTGTATACTCTGAAACAACTTAGAAGCAATGTAATACTGTATTCTGATCAATTTGACTGCTGTTAGTTAAGGAGTACATCTTGTGTATGCTTACAAGCATGCTTACTTACTTACTTACTCTGACCAAAATATATTTGGTCAGAGAAGACAATTATTCCTTAGTTTCCATTACAAAAATGGAGTCTTGTTCTCTTGGTCTGGACGTGCTTTGTGTTGGGAGCCAGCGGGCTCTGAGCCTGCTTAATTAAACCGGAAGCAAAATCTTGCATTCATGGGCTTCCAGAAACATGGTGTTCTTCTTAAAACTGTCTCACAAATGGAAGTTGCAAAACTTGCTCTTCACAGTTCATCTCTCTCTGACGTGGAGAAAGCAGGACGTATATCTGTCAGGTAGCTCTTATTTCTAGGGTAGGACAGCTTCCTCCCTCGCTTGAGCTGCCTGTCCACATCTTTATATAACTGCCTGCTCCAGATAGCTGATAAAGAGGCTTCCAAAGGGAAACTAACTTATTCTAGAGCTGGAAGGTTTATTTTGAATGAGGAGGGGTTGAGAAGAATATGTTCATCTCCAGAAGTTCCTGTAAAACAAAATGATTAAAACTGTTCTTACAATGTACACCTGAGATTTGACCTTTCTATCCCAAATTAATTGTACCATGGGGATTTATAATGGGACTTCATAAAACATTGGGGGTATACAGAGACGAGAAAAGTTCAGATAGCACGTGAAGGTGCAGAATGAATTGCATCAGCATGACTGCATTTAGCACAGTGGAGAATTTTTGAAGCTTACTTTGGAAGATTTTCTTGAAAACATTTGAGGTTTCTAGCTTAGTTTTCAAACTCAGTCATGAGTAACAGAAGTGAGTTCTCATTTCAGGTGAAAGCTGGAATTCTTGCCTCAAGGGACTAAACAAAGGGGAGCAGGTATAGAACACAGGAAAGTCTTGACATAAGTTGCTTTTCAGGTTACAGTGCTTACTCATTCTTTATTGACAATAAGGAACTGTATGAAAATGACTTTATACCTGTTTTATCACTGAAAAGCTAAAAACTGGTAGCGTGTGCGAACAATGGATTTAGATCAGGAAAAGTTCTTGTCCACTCTACCAGAGGGAGGGAAACGTGGGTTAATCCTGACTGTCTTCAAGACAACACAGTTGCATATCCAGTGTTACAGTTGTCAAGATAAATTATGCTTTTAGGGTTCTGGCTCTCACTTTTCGGGTGAGAGGCTGCTGCTGTAGCAGCATGGGTTTCTGACCTTTGTTTTCAGCTACTTTACTGATGTAAAAGCTAAGAGGTCATTATGGATAGAGAACTAAGTATTTTGGGTGTATTCAAGGATCCCAGATTTAGGAAGATGTAAACTTTTGTTTCATTGAACTTTGTTTTCTTATCGAGCTTAAGGGTCACTGTTTCTCTTGCAAGAATAGACTAACATGTGTGCCCTTGCTTAAAGGACCACAGAACTTGGCTCACACACCTGAGAGGTCTGTCGGTCTGTCTGAAGTGTGCATATGCTGGTACACCCTAATATTAAAGTAGGAATGTAATGGTGTGTTTGCCTGATGCCTTGCAGCTAGTGGAACAGCACTCAGTATGTCCACACGACTACCTGGTTCACTGTTTTGATGATCTACAACACCTAGCAAAATCTTCTTCCTTTTTGTGGCGCTCGTATCCTCAGGATTGTAATATTACAGCTGTAGTTACGGCACATGCGTTGCCTCTGATGCAGGATCAGATACACCTTCCTGCCACAATAACAAGAAAATGTTCTTATGCTTTGTTAGAATTCATTTGCTTTTATGAAATTTCAGTTTCATTGCAGAGGCAATGACTGACCTTTTTTTCTCTTTTTTTTTCTCCCCCAAATTGATTACAGTCCATTTCCAAGTAAGTGGTTTGGCTGCAACAAAGGTTGAGCATTATAATTATTGCCCTGAAGACTAATCCAGGCATATAAATAAATTCCATCTTCTGTAATTGTTATTGGTGTCTTTCCTTATCTTGTAGCTTCCTGCTTACTGGAAGATGTCAGCAGTTGGAATAGTGTCCTCCTGTTCCTGTCTCCGTCCTAGTGTATGGCTGCTGAAACCAGGAATCCAGAAGGCAAGCTCCTTTGGCTTACATACGGCAGCCAGGTGTGCTGCCAAGGATTACTATGAAGTACTTGTGTTGGGTGGAGGTGCTGGTGGAATCGCCATGAGTGCTCGTATGAAGAGGAAAGTAGGGGCAGAAAATGTGGCTGTTGTTGAACCAAGTAAGGTGAGTCTTCCTCTGCTGTCTAGCATTAAAAAGATAAGCATGTTACATATGTGATCAGATTGGTCTGATTCTCATCCTTCTCCAACCAGACACATTTTTAACTGTGGAGAGGAAGCTCACTGGCCAGCTTTAAAAAGGCTTCATGTTATATTTGTTGCTCCATGTTGGAAGTGCATGCATCCTTTCAGCTTTGCAATGCAAAACTCACGGTCATTTCTTCAGCTTCCTTTGTTAAGTATAATACAATGTGAAGAGCACATTGTTTCCTATTTGGAGTAACGTGCCTTCACCTTGCAGTCCCTTTAAACAGTTCTTACATGTGCATTTGAACATTTCTTTCAGACTCATTACTATCAGCCACTGTGGACCCTGGTTGGTGGTGGTGCAAAGCAGCTAGCAACTTCTGCGCGTCCAACAGGAAGCGTAATGCCGGCAGGTGTTGAGTGGATCCAGTCTCGAGTTACAGCATTAGATCCAGATAAGAACTGTGTCTATGTGGAGAATGGCAGCAAGGTAATATGTAAAAAAAAAAAGTTAGTCTCTTATCCTATGTCATGAGTTGTCTGTCCACCTCCTGCAGATCCCCTTGCAACTGCCTATTGAGTAAGGCCTTCCCCCAGCATCTAGAAGGCCAGGAAATCGCACTTCGTGTTATCAGAAGTACTTAATCCTAAAATATGTTTCTAAAAAAAAAAATAAAAAAATGTTATAGATAACCGCATTAGAATCAACGTAAAATATCATTATTGTGAGTCTTTTCCTTGCCTATAGGTGAGCCGAACACAAAAGAGAGAATAGTTTGCTCCGAACACTTGGTTTTATGTATAACATAGACTCTGTAACTCATAATGCAGTTAGCATTTTAACTATAAAAATAGTTATAGAGCTTAACATTTATGTTACTAATGCTCTTTGTATATCCTTCCCTTACGGCTCTGTTGCTGTCACATAACTTCAACTTGCTCTGAGGTACTTTTGTTTCTTTTTCTAAGATGTGTTTTGGGTTTTTGTTGTTTGTTTTTTTCTTTCTGCTAGATATCTTACAAGTACCTGATAATTGCCCTTGGGATTAGTCTGCATTACGAAAAGGTATTTGTTTTACAGTCATGTTTTTTCTAGTTTTAATGGCATCACATACCCCTATGATTCGCTAAAGTAAAGGGCTTTTCAATACACTTTTTTTTTACTGCAAGATAGTGAATGCTAACATGAATTAAAGAGCCAGGAGACAGCCTAATGACTTTGCTCCTTCCACAGATGTCTCTCTAATAACCTGAATTGCCTTTCCAAAGGTCTTTTAAGACATCTTTGTTGCATCTCTAGCAATATCAGCAGACAGGACAACAAGTTCAATCTAGAATTTAAAGGCAGCCTGTAATAATGAGTATGATGACTGTAGTCCGAAGCATCTATAATGTCAACTGAAGTGAGAAACCGATAGCAGTCAGTAAAATCTGTCCTACAGAATTAGTTTGGCTCACCCTCATCTTTCTTAAAAGATATACACTTCAAAAGGAACTGGCTGAGTTATCATGCTTGTGATTAAATAGGCCCTTGGGCCCTTCCTGTCTATTAGGTTTCCTGTACACTTTATGCAGCGGCACTCAGGAAAATGTTAATACCATTGTATGGCACAAGAATGACCATGGATAGGAAGAGGAAAACACAAAGGCAAGATGTTTGAGTGATTTAACTCTCATGGTTTTAACCTGAGCTGAATATGATGTAGTACTGATAATGTATTTGATTATCTCTTTGAAAAGCTCCCAAGGCATATGTAAAGCAAGAGCTAGTCTTAGTTAATCGGATGTGGTGACCTAGAATTTATCTGGTGATTAGGTCAGTGGAGTTGAGAGGCTTCATTGTGTTCAGTGATCCTCTCAGTCTTCACAGGTATCTCTTGAGTACAACCTGATAAAACTACATCCAGTATTCAGTAGTAGAAGTAATCACCATTAGTTTGTTGTGAATAAAATTCACAGTAACAGGTTTATGTGGCTTTAAAATGAAAGTGGCCAGTGTAAGAAGAGAGATGGTTTCTCTTCCTTGTCTTCACCAACAGCACACTTCCTGGGGTCAACTATAACTTCCCAAACACACTGCAGTGCATGTAACATGACTCTGTCTCATAGAATTTCTGCAATACATTATTTTGAAATGAGGACGACTCCCTTTCTAACAAGCAGATGCTCCACTGTAGTAGGAGTAATAGGGAAATAACTAATGGAGACAGTTAAAACCCTAGGAAATACAGGTATCCGCAACTGAATATGGAAAAGTTTTGTTCAGCTGATAAATTTTCATGATGCCTTTTTTTTTTTTTGCACACAATTTTTACTTACAGTGATTTGACAGTGACTTTATATACTCTTACTCTGAATTTCATGCAGTAGTCTACAAAAACATGGGTCTGGGTTTGCACTGAACTCTAACGCCACAAATGCTGCAGATCAGTATCATTTCAGTAAATGTTGCATCTACTGAATCATCTACTAAATTCTAATGGAAATACCTGTTTGATTGATTCTTTTCAAAAATGCCAACTAGCAAGTATGTATGGCCTTTCTTTTTGCTAGAGGCTTCTTAAATAGCTGTTTCTTAAGCCTTGATGATGATGACAAAATTCTGCAATCCATAATTTCATTTTCTTAGATCAAAGGCTTGCCTGAAGGTTTTCATCACCCTAAAATAGGTTCCAATTATTCACTGGATACAGTAGAGAAAACATGGAAAGCTGTACAAGATTTTAAGGAGGGAAATGCTATCTTCACTTTTCCAAACACTCCAGTGAAGTGTGCAGGGGCTCCTCAGAAGATCATGTATTTATCAGAGGCCTACTGGAGGAAAGTACGTATTTTACTCTTTCTGCCATTGCTTGTTCCCACAGTTGGAATCCAGGCTTGTTCTAAGGGGTTCATATTGTCTTTAAAATAAAGGAAGAACACACAGGGGGAATGTGACACAGGATTATTAAAGTGACTGAGTTGCTTTTTCTATTAGTAAGGTACAATAAATGCAGGAAACTGAACCATACGTAAATATTTAGCATATGTTTAATACTGGAGAAGCTTCTAGAATTCAGAATCCATAAGCAAAGAACTGTTCGCCTTACTTCTGGTGAGCTACAGATACAACTGTTCTCAGCCTCATTTATAACTTCAGTTGGTGCCCTAAACGCTGGCTGGGATTATGTAATTCTTAGCACTTTAATACCTGTTGCCATTTGTCTTTCTGCTACTCTGAAAATGGCTTTGCTTGCTCCTCATGGTGCACTGTATCCGCATCAGGAGGAGTCTTAGCCACACTGTCAGAGCAAGCTTAGTGTAGATAGAAGACAGCTTCAAGTGCAAGTGTCAGGCTTCAGACATGTTTTAGTTTCCTGAGCTATCTACTGAATAATGCATAGAAGTGGAGATTTCAGAAAGCTCTGTAATGCTAAGCAGCGACACATGCTAACGCTGCATACAGCAGTTCCTCAGTGAATTGCAGCCACCTCCTCTCACAGCAATCTGGGGGGGGTGTGTGTCTTCAGTACTTCACTCAGAAAAGGCAAAGATTATCTTGTCTAGCTTCTAACGTGGCATGAACCATCTGTGTCTGAGAGTTTTAATGTGAATGTTTCATTAATAATTGAACTGTATTAATAGTTCTATCAGCTCTTCAGTAGCGCAGCACAGTTCTTTTGTCTTTGCTAGCTTCTCTCAGTTTCTTAATAGAAAAGGCTAATTTGATCTCTCTGTGCAGACAGGAAAACGGTCCAAAGCAAACATAATGTTCAACACTTCACTTGGTGTCATTTTTGGTGTTAAGAAGTATGCTGATGCATTGCTTGAAATAATAAAGGAGAGGGACATCACTGTTAACTATAAGCGCAATCTCATAGAAGTTCGAGCAGACAAGCAGGAAGCTGTGTTTGAAAACCTGGAGAAGCCTGGAGTGACTGAAGTTCATCAGGTCAGGAGCTTTCAGAACTCTAGTTTGGTCCTGTTTGGTTTCCTTGTCTGCTGTAACATAACTGCCACACTATGTACACATACTGCCCGCTTCCTTGTATACTGCCATTCCCTCCTGAGAGTACCACCTATAACTTTAGTAGAGGATTAAAAAGTTTGAAACTGAGGTGGAGGGAAGGAAAAAATACTTAATAAAACATGGCTGGAGTCCTGTCACCTTGTTAGTATAACTTGGTAGTAGTGTCCTAGAGGCATATAGAGGAAGGAAATCGGTGTTTTATAAATGGAGTTGCCTGATGAGCTTCATGTTAAAAAAAAAAAAAAAGGTGCACTTCAAATTTGCAGACAAATTTTCATTCTATGTACTAAAAAAACCCCAACCAATAAACACCCACAAACCAACCACCCTCTCCCCCCAAAAAAAGCCCTTTTCACACTGCTTATTGCCTCATATGAACACAGGTACGATGTGCTGTGATAAACTAGCTGTTGAGTGCCTTTTCTTTCTCTCTAGTATGAAATGCTTCATGTCACACCCCCCATGGGGCCACCTGATGTACTTGTCAACAGTTGTGTCTCGGATGAAGTTGGCTGGGTGGATGTAGATAAGGAAACTCTACAACATAAAAAGTACCCTAATGTGTTTGGCATTGGAGACTGCACCAACCTTCCAACTTCCAAAACTGCTGCAGCCGTAGGTGAAGTTGCACACGTGTGTGTTTGTGTGTGTAATGAGAAGTAGGGGAGTGACAGTGAGTTTTTTTTTTTTTAGTTTCTTACTCCCGAGGGCTTGACTTCAGCTATTTTGAGCTTTGTAAAAGACCCGTGTCTCCTGAAATACTGAACTAATGGCATTTTCTGTGTCTGCAGAATGGCATGAAACGAGCACACTGCTCTTGCATTCCGTCACCCCTCAGTAACAAAACTTTCTGCTCTATCTTAGCAGCTCATTCATACGTGTCAGCAAACCGATAAGTCACTGTTGAAGAATCGCATGTGCTGTACTTGTGGCCACAGGGTCCAATATAAAACACTTTTGGCATACAGTCTCACAACTAAAAAACTGAAAGGAAGGTTATCAGTATATTCCTGGTGTAACCTGAAGAATGCTATAGTCAACTATTCCAGCAAATGGGTCTAGAGTACCTTCCTTCCAGTACTCAAAATGAAACAAAACTCTCTGTGCCAGAGCCTTAGTGCTGGGGAATATTGAGCAAGTATAATTTCATATAGGAGAATGGCCATAGACTAAAACCATATAGCTAAAGTGTTATTGAGCTTTGGCAGGTTGGAAACAGTGAGGCTAAAGCATTATTCCAGGTTTTTGGTTTTTCTTACCTGGGACTGTGGACTTTCCAAACTGATTTGACATGCACATTCAATTCCAGCTGAATTGCCCAACAAAATGCCCAGCAGACAGTGTTTGCTCTAGTAATGGCAATAATTGCTGCCTGAAACAAAACTCTAATACACTTTTGTATCGTTTTGTAGCTGCCCAGTCTGGAGTGCTTGACAGAACTATTTCCCTGGTAATGAAGAACCAGTTGCCAACTAAAAAGGTACCTACAGATCTTGTGTTACGGAAGTTGCCTTAAATGTTTTCTCCATTCTCATGCAGGAAGTCTCGCAAGCAGCTAAGGGTGTGAACCAGAAGGCAGGAAAGGGGTGCTAAATGCTGTATGTTATAATAGTAATTTAGTTGCACAATTCATATTCTTGATACTGCCATTAAAAATATTCTCTATTAAATTCCCTGGCTTCTCAGTTGAAAGAAGTTTAAACACAGATCAGTCTGGGTTCTTCACCAATGCAGGAGACTTACTTAAGAGTAAAACCTGACTGCTATAATGGCTGCTCCAGGAAAACCCTTGGAGATGTGCTATTTCTGTACAATGTTGAAACTGGCCTCCCCTGCACAGAATAGGATCTCTTAAGGAGTTAAATTGAAGGTTTTGTACTACAGATGTTAAGCCTGTAACTACGTTCAGATTTCTCTTTGAGACTTGGGTTTCATTTTACCTATGGCTTCTGAATTAATACTCCTTGGGGTACTAGCCTGAATATCAGTAACCATAGTCCTGCCATCCTCTGGAAATTCTTGTAGCTAGATTCAAGGTCCTGTTTATACACTACCTGTTAAAACCAGCACCACCTCTCATCCTGATCTACTGCTCACCTGTTCTTCTGGTTACAGAAACCAATACAAAAAGCCCTGTTCTAGGTCAGTTCTGATTTTACCAATGTTAAACAAATCTACATTTGAAATAACATGGCTTAGTATTATGGTTATTAAACCACAATTGGCTTAGCAGCCTCCCAAATTTGCTGATATTAATGCTACACATACAGAAACCTCCAAGCAACTTATTTTGAAATATGAATGCTAACCATCTGGATTGTAATACCTTGGCATTTAGACTTTGCTCAGGGTAATGAACAGGGGTGTTCTTCATTGCAGTATGATGGATATACTTCCTGCCCGCTAGTAACAGGCTACAACAAGGTGATTCTAGCGGAATTTGACTACAATGCTCAGCCATTGGAGACCTTTCCCCTTGACCAGAGTAAGGAGAGAGTAACCATGTACCATATGAAAGCTGATATGATGCCTTTTCTCTATTGGAATGCACTACTCAAGTAAGTATTTGAATCCTGAACAGGTAGAGCTGCTGTGATTATTCGGGTAAAGCCCAAGTACAGATACCTGTTCTGGCTTAGTTCCTTGCTGGAAAAGAAGTGGGTAACTGTGACTAAGGCCTCATTTTCTGAGGATTTGGGGCACTTTGCTAGTAACAAGGCTTTGTTACCAGACAAGGGTTGAATTGCACAGACTGGCAGCCCTTGCAAAATGGAAACCTCACTGAAACACAGGTTCTCCAAAACAAACTCCCAGCACTCACCTCTTAGCAAGTATAGGATCTTTTGGGAGTAAACCAGAAAACACTCCCCCCACACCCTAGTTTGATAGTACATATATGAATTTAATGAAGGAACTTTCTCCATTTCTAGGGGATACTGGGGAGGACCAGCTCCTATCAGGAAGCTTATGCATCTGGGCTTCAAGTAACTGCTGCCTGGTCAGTCCTTTTTCAAGGGCTGTTCTCACAGTGGATCAGTACACAGCTTCCCTCTTGGGCCACCTCGTACTGTTTTCCTAAATCAAGCTTTTGTCCTAAAGTCACTTCTTCCCTTACTAGGGGTTAAGCCTTCATATTCTTTCACTGCTTTTCTAAATAAACCAAGGCCTTAAACTACTTCTCTACACAGACAGGAATATGAACTTGCCTCAAGCTACTGAACACTACTCAAATTGTCTGGAGACATCAGTAATTTTAAAGCTGTTGTATATCTAAGATCTTTTCCAACTTTAAACTGAATTGTCTGCATTCAAGATCAATGTGTACACTGAATTGAACAGAATTCAATGCTAGTAAAATGGCTTGAAAGCAGCCTATTGTGGTCTCATGTTTGAAAAGCAAGATCAACCCCACTTTCTCCAGCAAGATGATCCCCAATTAGTTGGATCAGAAATTAATGCAGGTTAATTGAAGGGAAGAATTTACATTAAGTATGTACGGGTAAATACGTAGGTACACACTATGATGTTTTGCTGTCACAAACTAATAACATGACTGGGAGAAGACTAAGTTCATTTGAGGCCCCATGAGACTGAAGCACAAATTAAGATGAGAGACAAAGGGGAAGTGCTTTTTAATTATGACCATGTATAACTCAGTTTCAAGGGAAGATTGAACAAAGTCGAATTTAAGAGTTGAGAGTCTTCACAGAAGCTGGAACTTTAGTGGCAGGCAGGTAGGCAGCGTGGAGCAAACAGGAGTCATCTTCACTCACAAGAATTGGAAGCAGCTTATTTCTAAACAGAAAGATACACATGAACATGTTACAACTTTATGCTTTTTGACACAGACTTTAAAAGGATTGACTTTTGAGTTGCAATTACAAGCACAAACATGTACCTGCATATTAAGTAATTCTTCAATCTTATTCTGGATCTGTCCATACACATCATTAAACAGCTCCTCCTTGGATTTTGTTCCATTCAAGTGCACTTAAAGTAAGAAATTAAAGAAGGGAGCTATAATTGAAAGTTTCTGTAAGACCAACAGATCCAAAAGAGCAAGCATTTGACTGGTATCACAGAAATATCCTCCATCCACCTGCTTCAAACTCTTCTCATGCATCTAACCAGCACATATATCCCAATTTGAAAAGGAGTCTCCTATAGGAATCTTTTCTAAAGTGCTTTTGTCATTAAAAGACTTACCCACATCAACTCCAAGATCTTCCATTATCTTCCTGTGCTTTACATACATAGGCCAAACGTGGCCATCAAACAATCCAGGTGGATCTGGTACAGTGTAATTCCTTGAACTGTAAATTAAGACATTGTTACTCTAGCATAGTAATTGCAGTTCAGGGAGATGACAGATAGTTGATTCAGTCTGTCTACACACTAACCTGAGCCTGTTACCCTCCGTGTAGTTCCTGAGCTTATCAAAAGTTAAGTATTTAGCATAAGCCACAAGCACAAAGATACCCACAAAAGTTGGAATTTGATCTGTGGGTCCAAAATGTTCCAGATGCAAAAAGGATTCTTAAAAAGACTGATCTTAACATTGATCAATAATCCTCTCTTAAAGTAGAACTTTGGCTAAACAGCTGTCTGCTTACTCCTCTGAAGTATATGTTCAAGTTTAATGTTTCATTTGCATTAAGAACAGTGTATGTGTGCCACAATACAGCCCAATAGAGAACCCCAGTATAGTTTGAAATGTACACAACAGATCGGGAGGAAGCTACAATCTAACATAGCAGTTACATTAGTGTTTATCCTTTCTCATCTAAAAGCTTCAGAGAAACAAGTCTTGAGGAGGGTAAAATGCTATTGGGCTAGCAGGGGAACCCAGAAAGAGCAATTCACCTTCTTCTTCTTTTACACTCTTCATACGGAATGGAAAGGAAGTACCGATGGTGGAACACATCAATCAGCGGCCTGAAAGACACGTTTGGGCACAGCTAAGCTGTTTGATTAGCAGCAAGAAATGGAAAAGTAAAACTACATCCATTTCCTGCTCCTAGAGCCATCTTCAGACTTGTGACACCCACACTCAGCAGTAATCAATACCAGCTACTAATTCTTGGTTTAGAAAAGGTATTTTTATTCCCTTGGAGGTTTGCCTATCACGTAAAAGCAAAATACATGAAGGCACATCTGATTACCTGTAGGTGTAAAGGAGGAAGCCTTCAACAATAAGAATGTGGATTGTTTCATCTTCTCCCTGCTTATCTTCTAAGATTGGGGCATCCAATGTGTTGTTGATACCATGAGAACGTTCAAACTTGACTGGGTTTTTTATCCAGGCATTTATGGTACTCATCATAGCTTCCATGTCTAACGCACTAATCACTAAGACAAAACAGACAACTATTACTAAGCAGTAATTAATATCATCTAGCAATAACAGGGTACAAAAACAGTGCACATAAAGCATCAAAAAAACCAAACTTTTTTAATTTGATAATGCTGTATCAAAGCCTTACCATCATACTGTTTAAACCCATCTTCAACTTCTATTTCATCTTGGGGCTGAAACAATAATAAGAAAACAAACTCTCTGGTCAGGGCAGCTACTGGAAAGCATGTTACTTGTTTCAAAGTAAGATTCAAGATCTGACCCCTGAAGCTACACAGCGAAATCTTAACCTTCCACCAGGTTTCTTTGCATGCAGATAAAAAGCAGTAGTAATGAGGCTAAGATAAAGTCGCCTGCTTCTCTATCTTCCCACCAACACAAGCACGCCGCATAGCAAAGAAAACGTGAAGTCAGCGCACGCAGTACAGCGCAGGCTTATCCCCCAGCCCAGCTGGGCACGGCAGCAGGCGGCCGGGGAGCCGAGAGGAGCGGGGCAGGGCAGCGCGGCAGGCGGGCAGGGCGCCAGGCGCCGAGGGCGGAAGCACGCGGGGGTCACCCCTCGCCCTGCCGCGGGCGGGCTGGCGCCGCTCACCTTGAAGAAGTCGTCCTGGTGCACCACGCTGCAGTTGGGCAGGGCCTGCATCAGCCGCCGCGTCAGGGTGGTCTTCCCGCCGTTCGTGACCCTGCGGCGACAGCGACCGCGCGTGGGAAGCGCGCCGGGCACGTGCGCGGGGCCGTTCGCCCTCACCCGCCGCGCTCGCGACACTGCGGCACGAGGAGCACCGAAAGGGCGGGGGAGGAGAGGGCCCAGCGCCACAGCAGAATCACCGCCCGCCGCCGCCCGCCCCGCCGCTCCTACCCGCCGATGCCGATGATGATGTTCATGGCGCGTCCGGCAGCCGCCCGGCCCGACTCCTGCAGCCCGGTCCTGAGGGGCGGGGTGGTGAGGGAAGAGGGACTGGGGACCCGGTGTCTCCGGTACCGGCCGCCTACGTGCCTGAGCCGGGACCCGGGGAGAGGGGAGAAAAGGGCTGAAAAAGGAGAGGAAGGTAGAGAGGGGAAAGGCCAAACGTCAACTGCCGGGCAAGGCCATGGCCGGAGGAGGAGGGAGCAGCAGCAGAGCTGGTCCGCGCCGCGCCGGAGCGCTCCGCAAAGGGAGGCGGGCTCCCCCTGCGTGCGGCTTCCCCTCGCGCTCTTGCGCGCCCATTGGGCGGCTGCCATCGCTCTGCAGCCAATGGAAAGCACAGAACGCTGACGCCTTACGGTTATTGGGCAGCGCTCCCTCACTCACACCCGACAGCGTTCCGGCGCGGCGGTTCGGCGGCGCTCATTGGCCGTCGCTTCGCGGGGGCGGGTGTCAGCTGCACCAATGGCAGAGGCGTCGCGCCCTGAGGGGCGGCTCTGGCGGCTGCAGCGCGCGCGCTCTCCTCAGGCTGCGCCGCCAACCGTCGGGGCCCGGTACAGCGGCTGCGGCACCGCTCGCGGTAGCGCGGGGACCCTTCTCGTCCCGCCGAGGCGGCTGTTGGCCGTACCGAGCCGTTACCGCCCCTGTCCGAGCGGCCGCAGGCGGCTCTTGGCAGCCGCTCCAGCACCGGCCGAGTTTCAGAGCCGTCGCCTCGCCCGCGAAACGGCGCCGTAGCGCTGCGGCTGCCCGGAGCCGGGCCGTGCGGCCACCGCCTGCCCTGTGGTGTGGCTGGGAGGTGGAAGGGCAGGAGGGGATGGCGCGCGCCGCACCGGCTGCTCCGGGGCAGGGGGAGCCGTGCGGCTCTGCAGAGCAAACCGCGGCGGATGCGCTGCATCCCGCGGCCAAGGTCACGGCCTGTCCTTGTTGTGACAGGCATGAGGGAACCGGGCCGGCGAGCTCGGTGCGGGGGGTTTGTCTGCTCTAACGCCCCGCTCTCAAGGGCAGTTGTAGAGCACACGCGTTTCCTTGGAGGGTGTGTTTGTGCCTCAGCTGCTTGAGCCTGGGCTGCTGCAAACCGCAGGACCGGCAGTTGCTGCGCTTGAGGGACGGCACCTCTTGTTGTGAAAGCTTTTTCCCTCCTCTGAAGAAGGAAGAGTCATGGTCACAGCCTGGTTTTATTGCTATTATTTCAGTTTATTCTTAGTAACATTAAACTCCGTAATTTACAAACTGGTACCTCGGTTTGTTGACCCCACGGTGTTTACAGCAGCAGTAGCAGTGGGTGGTGTGGTGCCAACCATCCGGCTTCTCTGCTGCTGGTGATTTTTACTAGTTTTCTTCTGGTTAGGCTCCAGTTCATTTCTCTCGCAGTTATTTTTAACTTCCAAATGACACATAATTGGGTCTCTTGGCTTTTCTTCTTTTTTTTTTTTTTTTTTTTTGGCGGGGAATGGGCAGTTAGTGAAAAATGCAATTTTTCTTTCATTTTGTGACTAATCTCATTTCCACTTTGCAACAGAGGAGCTGCCTTGGTGGAGTTTTGTGTTTTGTTTGCGTGGGGTTTTTGTGTGTGTGTGTCTACTTGGCTTTTGAAAGGAGAAGTTTCAAATCTCTTCAGAGAATATCAGCACTCCTAGGCTAATGGAGGTCTCCACAGGGTAAAACCCTATTCTCAGCTTTCCATGAAGCTTCACAAAGGCAGAAAGCCAATATATAATCATACTACATAGTAGTGTTATTATGTAGTTTTAAGGAATGCATCTCACACTAAATCCAAATTCTGGTAAAATTGGGATGCTCTTTCCAAGCAGTTAAATTCACTCTACCACAGATATCAGCTGTTTGGCTCTAAGGTTCTTCAAAAATCTTGGTCACTTATTGTTTTTTACTCCTCACCTTTCACCAAGCAAGAGCATCTTCAAGCTTGATGCTTAAAACTGATTTTTGATCTAAAAATACAAATTCCACTGTTTTTACCACACCTTGCCATTGAGATAAACACACAACTGTTCCGGGATTTTAACATGAGATAAATATCAAATAAGCAAAGTAGGGATAATGAACAAACTAGAAGCACTGTGTTTTTTTTGGAAAGGCACTGAGGCTGAAAAATGCTGTTCACATCAATTCAGCACTGACAGAGCTGGAACGAAAATGACAACAACCGGACTCAGAAATTCCTGTGATTAAACAACTCCTCTGGGGAAGGGTGATGGCAGCCTGGGCCTGCCGATGTGATGACTGACATATGCTAACACTCACTGACAGCCCGGAGCCCAGGATTTGTCATGATCAGACCTTGAGTCTAAAGGCCAGTTGTGAAGAACAGGTAAGTTTAGTGAGGTTATTTATGGAGATTACCATGCACCTCTCATGTCTAGGGAAAGGGAGAATTCTGTTTTGATTCAGGCAAACATTTTTCACTTCTACGGAACTGATATGGCTAAAATACAGTAAAATTTTTAATACTTTTAAATACACAGCTATGGTAGAACAAATGGAATGTTATGCTCAGTATAGTGTATCTAAACATAAAGCTCTCAGGCACTTTAAGGCTGCAGACCCCAGAATGCCTGTGTATCCTGCCCATCTCATTCCACATCTGTGTCTGTGTGTGCTAGCCATTTCCCTGGCCCTTTGTCTCTCTCTCCTCAATGATACTGCTGCTATGGTGAAAAACAGAACAACAGGATATTGTCCAGTTCAACTC